GTTCAGAAGTAATCATGCCCGATCTGACGGAAGCCTGGAAGTGAGTGCGCGAGGTGGTTATAAAAGGCTCCTACCCCCYAGGAACGAGGTATGCGAACTTTTGTGCTATTTGGTCTATCTTGCCTTTGAAAGACTCTAACTTGAGCTTCGGAGCCCTTACGTCGGGTTCTCTCCGGAGGTTCTCTTCTCCTTCCGTTTCAGGTCCCTGTTACTCAGTTCAGAGGCAAGATCGTTGACAGTTAAGACTAACCAGATTGTGCATCATCAGTTAGTGTGGTGGCTGTTACACACTTACAGCCCAAAGTCCAAAACATACATAAAAACCCAATTGCTTGGCCTAAGCCATAAATATCACCTACTTCTCTACAAACAAAAAGGGCTGTTAGAAAATAGATCTGGTCCGTCGATTTCAGAATTTTGTAATTTTGACATGATTTATTTATTTTTGGGTAAATTACAAATAAGTACCTATATTTTTGAGGGTAGTGATAGATAGGTACTTTAAATTTTCAATTACAACACTTGAGTATTCTGAACTTTCAAAAATAAACACATAATTCCATCCGTTAGTATTTTGTTAGTTAAACATTACATAATATCAAAAATACTTTTATCGTGTATTTCTGAGATCATTCTCACGTAATCGAACGTCTCTCCATGGTGACGTTTTCACATGGACGACAAATAACATAATCAATTTTTTCGACATGGTATTTTGTAGTGATGATTTTACTCTATAGAATGATCTAAAAAATACACGAAAATGATATTTTTGACATTATACAATGTTTAATTGATAGAATGTAATGATAGATCCAAGTGTTTATTTTTCAGAGTTCAAAGTACTCAAGTGTTGCAATTAAAAGTTCAGGATACCTATCTATCACTACCCCCAAAGTAAAAGTACCTATATGTAATTTACCCTTTATTTCCCAACTTTGACCTAGTTCAATCCATTTTCGGGTTAAGCTTCTACAATCACCTCATTTTTGGTAATTTGGTTCGTTTAGGTTCACTACACATCCCGGTTCAAATTCCAAGGCCATGCAATCGGTTCAAGTATATTTTGGGTTGACAAACAAAGGGAACCAACCTAACCTTCTCAATGAGTCTGGTCTTACGAGAACTCTACCTACATTTATTATAGTCGCACATGGAGAATATCTCATCATTTGCATAGTATTATGTAGGGGGAGATGTTCCCAATTTAGGATACCGTATTGTATATAGTGTGGGCAAGAGATCCGGAGTCCTCAATTCACTTGACATCCACCCTGCATTGGGAACATCCAGACATCCTCTTCTTATTCTTGCTCTATCTTTCGATCTCATCCATACACGTGTATCACCCATACTCCATTCCGCTGTATGATTACCTCCCCTCAATCCATTGACAATCCGAATGCTCCAAATTCTACCAATCACAGCAAGGCTTAGGCCCTTAGTTAATCTTATTTTGGAAGATACTTATCAAAACGAACTAATTAGTGATAAATTCCCTTAATTACGTTATTAACTTAAATAATTGTTATTAAGAAATATAATTATCTTCTTCACCGGATGCTCCTCGCATTTATTCGACCCTGGTTATAGACGTTCCTTTCTCCTCTGCTTCGTATTTGTTCAAACTCCTCTCTCTCTCTCTTGTTTCAGGGCGAGCAGGTCTCTTCCGCTCCCGTTGATTCTCTGTTTCTGTCAGATCTAACGGAATCATTTTGTTCGCTATCTTATCAACTGCTTTCAACTGTTCATCTGCTTTTCTTTTTCCAGCCCTTATTAAAGGGTTTGATCTGATTCATCCGCGTTAGGGTTTCTGGATATTCGGATTTCAGAAATCGTTGGGGCAATTCATAGATTCTGATTTCCCAGTCCTTTTGGTCTGGTATTGGTTCGTTTCTGTTCGGTTTAGGCCGAATTCTGTAATATCTCTGGTTTCTGGTATCTGCTATTTTGATTGGGATTTTTAAGACGATTCCGTTTGGTTGTTTTAAGGGGAAATTAGCTTCGTTTCCTCATCTTCTTCCTTTTGGCTGTGGAGATGTTGGGGACGGGATTGCAGTTTGGGCGTGGCCATGGAGAGGATCGATTTTACAATCCGGTGAAAGCTAGGAGGAATCATCATCAGCAGCAACAACAACAACAACAACTTCACAGAGCTAGGAATAATGGAGCTGCAAACCCCGCTCCATGGACGAATGGTAAGGCCTTACTTACAGAGAATAGAGAGCTGGAGAACCGGGTGGAATCTGAAGAGCCATCAAAGCCTATAGCTATGCCGGCTTCCGAACCAGCGGTAGTTCCTTCAAGCAACCTTGATCAGTTTCTGGAATCAACAACACCTTCTGTTCCTGCGCAGTATCTCTCTAAGGTTTATTTCATTTAATTTTGCTATGAATTTGGTTAATTTCTTTAAAAATTTTAAATTTTGTATTTGTTTGTTTGTTTTCTTATGTTATCATCGTTTTTTTTTTGGATAATGTTGCAGACGAGGATGAGGGGTTGGAGGACTTGTGATGTAGAGTTCCAGCCTTACTTCAATCTCGGTGATCTTTGGGAATCTTTTAAGGAATGGAGTGCATATGGTGCAGGAGTGCCTTTGATACTAAATGGCAGTGATTGTGTTGTTCAGTATTATGTTCCATATTTGTCGGCTATTCAAATATATGGTGAATCCACAAGGTCGTCCTGTAAGACAAGGTAATGATTTCTTAATGTCATTGAATTTTGTTCTTAAAATATTCTTTTGGTGTCTGTATTTGTCCGTGCAATGTATTACTATTGATTTAATGTGTCACAACTATTGACTTGATCGCATATTTATTATTAGTCGTTTTCTTCTCAGAATTAGTGTGTAGTTTTATGCATTGGATTGGGTTAATGGGAGTATTAATACAATTTTAACTGTTTTATTGGAACTTGGGGGGTTTAAGTTTTAATGCTTTGTTGATTTGTATTATTGCCTACTCTTGTTCGTGAACAAGTAATAAATATGGTTCCTTGCTCTTGCAATATTTTTTTGTTCATATGGTGTTTAAAGACATTAATTGGTTCAAATTGCTTGAAAACTCCTGCTACTCATTGTAACATCATCTTTTTGTGTACAAGACTATTTTTGTGTTGCATTTGGTTTTGTTTTCTTTGATCATGTCCAAAATCCTCAACAGTTTTAATCTGTAGTGCCACTTTAAATTTGTGTCTCTTTTGACAGATGTAGGATGTAGCATGATTCTATCTTGGAAGGGCTTTCATCTTTATCAAAATTTTCTAAAATATGACTGTTTGTTCCCTACTTCACATTTCTAGGATTACAAGAATGTATGGATGGAAACAGATGTCTAAAGAGATCTAGGTGAAATAGGGAATCTGATAGAGATATACATATACAAGGAGATGAACTAGGAAATAGATAGGTAGGCATAGGGATGAGATAGAAAGAAAAGCTTGAAATAGACCTATAAAAGTAAGAAAGTTATATTGTATTTTGTTGGATTACAAAAATTCTTATGAAAATTGAGAAAAAAAAATTCAGTTTCAGTTGAGAGAGAGCTACTCATTTTCTGAAATTTAGCCCCTTGCTTGAGAGAAATGTTAATGCAATGATGTAAATAGTAAATTGTAATATTTCTAAAATGCTGTGTTCTGAAAGATCACTGTAAGACTTTTATGATTCCCTATGTGACCCCCATGCCATGGTTTTGTCTTTTTTATTTTTATTTTTCTCTTTTAACTACTAAATTGGAACTATGATAACTGTATACCTGTGCAAGGGTGATGTCTTGGATACTTCAATTTTTAGTGTAAAATCCATGTCTAGCACCTTGTTAAGATGTCTCCTAGGTTGCATAGAGTTGGAGTATTAATATGTTGAATCTTGAAGTCAGTAACTTGTGAATGAGGCATGTATTTGCCTCAATTTTTAGTTTAAAATCCGTATCTTACACCATGTCAAACCATGTCCTCTCTATGCCTGGGTAACACAGAATTGAAGTTTTTTTATGTTAAATGTTTAGGAAAGTTGTGAATAAGGCATGCATATGTAGAGTGATAAGCTGGTCAGTGTTGTAAGGCAAGGGTGATATATTGTCTGGGATACTTAAATTTCTAGTGTGAATTCAATAATTGATATCTTGTCAACCAATATTGTCAAAATCTTACGATTCACGATATGATTCACGATTTGAATCATGAATCCCAAGGGTTTTGATTCAAATCTTATGTCTGAATCCTTTTTTGCAAAAATCTTACAATTTTTGTTTGAATCCTACGGTTTGATTCATAAATCTTACGATTTATGCGATTTCTACGATTCAAATAAATTGAATTTAAGAAATAGTTCTCTACTTTGTTATGTTTTTGTTTATATCTAGTTTTGTCAAGGGTTTTTTTTAAAGCCCTTGCTAGAAAATGATTTATTCACGTTATTTAACACTAGAAATTGGGTTTATTTTCCATCATATGTAGGTTAAAGAGCCATTATATGTGGATTTGTTTGGTTTTCAAGTCAAACTTGATTATATGATCTCAGGTTTCTATTGTTTATAGTGGTAAATTCTATTATTTTAGGTACATATATGGTATATATAGATTAAAAATAAGGGAAAGTCACTTTCCTATATATATTTGACCTTTTAATATATCTATAATTAATTTTTTGACAAGTTTATAAAAAATAGAAATAATCTTACGATTTACGATATGATTCACGATTCAATTCAATTCAACTTTCTCTATGATTTACAATACGATTACGATTTTCAAAACATTGTGTCATACTGTGTCCTTGTTGACATTTCGTATTCTGAATGTTTGAGAAACTTGTGAATGAGGCATATGCGTTAAGCCATTAACAGAACAGCTAGCTGGTTAAATCATTGTTTTTTAGCTGTCCATGCTGCTAAATTGTAGTACTCATTTCCTGTTTTTGGCAGCATTTGGTGTAGCTTAGCCCAGAGCTTCTAGCTTGTGGATAAGCACAATAAAACTGCTGGATAAGATTGGGCAATAAACGTTACAAGAAAGCAGGTCTTTTAGAGATAAGGAGGAAACTAAGGTCATTCTATATTTAATTAGCTTAGTGTTTTAGAAGGCGTGCCTTAAGTACACCTAGGTGCACAACTGAGGCTCATTTAAAGCATGTTCCTTACTTCAACCTGGGTGCTTTTTTAATGCATGTGGATTAGCTTGTGGATAAGCACCATAAAGCAGATGGATAAGATTGGGCAATAAATGTTACAAGAAAGCAGGTCTTTTAGAGATAAGGAGGAAACTAAGGTCATTCTAAAATTTAATAGCTTAGTGTTTTAGAAGGTGTGCCTTAAGTACACATAGGTGCACAACTGAGGCTCATTTAAAGCATGTGCCTCAGTTCAACAGCTGGATAAGATTGGGCAATAAATGTTATAATAAAGCAGGTCTTTTAGAGATAAGGAGGAAACTAAGGTCATTCTAAAATTTAATTAGCTTAGTGTTTTAGAAGGTGTGCCTTAAGTACACATAGGTGCACAACTGAGGCTCATTTAAAGCATGTGCCTCACTTCAACTCGGGTGCTTTTTTAATGCATGTGGATTTTTTAAGTTAGCTTTTTTGGTTACTTTTGCTATATGTTTTTTTGTATGTTTTACGCCTTTATTATAGTCTATTGATTTTTATTTTTGATCAATAAGTCTATTAACTTTTAAACTACCTTTTAGTGGTGTTTGTACACTAGTAATGATCTATTTAACTTTTAAAAGAAACGAAAAACAAAGACCTTTTGAATATGTGGAATCCTGGTTATCGCTTGGTCTCAGGTAACTTAACCATTCCAAGACATTTTGGTGGAACTTCAATGGGAAATCCTGGGCTGGCAGGAGTGTTTATCACTTGGTAGGGCAATGTGATATGGGCTTACAGTAGTCCTTTAGGGGAGGCTATTTTGACTAAGGCAGAGGTGGTGGTTTCTCTGAGAATAGCAAAGGATCACATTTTTCTCCTTTAGTAGTGGCTGGTTATTCTGTTAACTCTTTAACTTGTTAGGAAGGAGTCATGGAGGCCTTTGGAGACTAAACCACTTCTTTGTTGAAGCTAGAAACCTAACTCTTTCTGTGAATGCTTCTTTGAGAAGGGTATCAAGAGAACACAATTCAGTAGCTGACAGTTTGGCAAAAAATGGCATCACTAATACCTGCCTGGATCTGAATTCTACTAAGATTTTTTTTATCAATAATTCTACTAAGATTTCCCTGAAGAGATTTTAATGATCGCACATTGTTCTGCAACCAGCACACAAACTATGTTTCCATACATCGTTTGATTTTGTTCCATGTCCCATGCTGTAGCCTTCTGAATTTGTGCAAGGCAAAACAGGTCTGGGTAAGCCAAACACAAGAAGCTATCTCTGCCAAGCATCCTTCCAGAAATAAATTGCTCTCCTGTACCTGGTTTGAAAGTGATGTATTGGAAGAATCCTCTCAGCTTCATAACTCCCTTTTACAAACTAGACCTGTATGAATTATTTGTTTTTTGGTAAAAATAAAAAAGAAAAAATCTTATTGAAAGAAGGGAAAATACAAAAGATAAAAAAGGTGACAAGGTTACACACAAAATAAAGGAGAAGAAACTCAAACCCAAAACCCCCCATGCCCCTTAAAATACAATCTTTTTCCTTTTCTTAGTCCTTAAGAGATTAAAACAACCTCACTGTCAATACCCAAAACCCCCTCAAGGGACCCAATGCTTTCCCCCTACACCTTGAACTGCAGACACATACAAATTATGAATGGGTGAAGTCCATAAAGATTTTCTGTCCATTGAAGTTTGGTCATATTTGCTGCACACAACCCTTCTCAAAGGTTCTTCTCTACCTTAAACCTCCACAACCACTTTCCAATGTGAGCCTTGTTCATAAGTCTTAAGTGAGTGAATACCAATTCTGCCATTGGCTCTTATATGTAATACCTGATTCCGAGCCACAAAATGCTATTTGCATTCCTCATTTGGGCAATCCTACAGTTGGATATTTTGGAGTTTTTGAGAGGTTCATGAGAGGTCAGCCATCACTTGGTGTGAATCTCGGACTGGAAAATGTGAAAATGATGGTTTAAGTCTGAGAGCAGTCACTTTGTGAAAAAAAAAGTTAGTACTGTATCCAGTTGACTCTACCCCTTCCAAGACTGCAAATATATCATTTTGGTTTCCTTAATTACATAACTTAAAAAAAGATGACTAATTTCTCTGCTAAAATAGTCCATATCAATTGATAAGTTGCTTTATAAGCTTGTTGAATGCTGCTGGAAAATAGAGAAAGTCTTCAGTGAATCACATTAACTAGAGTACTTCTTGCATGCCAATATACCCTGCATGACTGGAAGAGGTACTATTGCTCATAAATCTTGTTGTGCTCATTATATGTTATTATTGATTTTTGTAGTATTTTAGTCGTACAGCTTTAACAATGTGAAGGTTATTTTTTTATGAATAACAGAGAATTTATTAATATGAAGGTTAAAATTTTCTCTAGCCCTAATCCAATATATATTCTTCTTTGTAATGCTTCTATTAATTTGAAAATATTTATAATATTCAAAAACTTCCTGAAGGATTTTCATTGAACTTCTCAATTTTGAAGCATAAAAAATTTCCTTGATAATTAAAACTTTGCATGGGGATATATGTTCTCTTGTGGTACTAAAAATATTCATATTTAATTTGTGTCATTTGTTTTCTTATAGAACTTGTAGATTGGGTATAACTAATAATTTGAAACATAAAACAACATATGGATGGTCTGAGATGTCAACTTGCAATGCAAATAGCTTCAGTTTGGCAGTCTCTCCATGTTTCTGCATCCAAGCCATCACGGTTTGGCAGTTTCCATCTATTTCCACATCCTTAATGCCATTTATGCTCAATTGTTTCTGGCCTTGAATTAAAGCTTAGCCCTTGGGGAATTTCCTTCTCTTATGGGGCCAGAAAATGGAGTATCTAGCTGCTTCAGGTGGTTGTCCTGATGCTTTGATGCCTTTGCAAATTCCCTGGAACTGAGGTGTTTGATTGGAATCAATAGTGCATGTATCTTATTAGGCCTGTGGCATGCCATTAATTCACCTCTTGTTTTGTGTTTTTTGCCGGAACATTATGATATCAAATTATCAATAGAAGAAAATGATTTGACTTGATTGAGGTCTGCTCTATTGCTTGTGTTAATTTAACTGATTTGTCCAAGGTGAATTTGGCAAGAAGGCCATTCCTCTAATCTGTTTTGAAACATGCACCGGTATGCATGCATTCCAAGCTTGGATATTTACTGTGATGCATATAAGGAAGCAAGGAAAGAATCCATAAGGCCATTCCTATAATCTTTTGCTCATTCTTTGGTGGGTAACAATCTCTCTATTTGCCTTTCTTTCTGTATTCTTCATCCTTGTCACAAAAATCACCTTCCCACCCTGCAAAGCCCACCACCAGATTTGAAATGTAAGACCCTATCCTGTCCTATATCATGTTTTGTATTTTGAAGTTGTGAATACAATTATATTTTAATGAGAGTTGCAGGTTTATTTCCTCTATCTGAGCTTGACTGTTTTCCTATTTGATAGGCAACTTGGGGAGGACAGTGATGGTGACTATTACAGAGATTCAAGTAGTGATGGAAGCAGTGATTGTGAACTGGAAAGAGGTGGGAAATTCCCAAGGGAACAGTGGAATCACTACCATCTACCAAGCGAGACCTCTCTTAGAATGGAAAGATTGTCTTTGAGAGAGGAGATTGCACTTCAAGAGGGCTTTTCTAGTGATGATGGTGAGTCTGGCAATTCATGTGGCTGCCTGCTCTTTGAGTTTCTTGAGCGAGATCCCCCGTACAGTCGTGAACCTCTAGCTGATAAGGCAAGTCTTTTTCTTTTTCTTCTGATGTTTAATATTGTATGCTGTAATCTGTCCTTAATACTTCTGATGATTTTTTTTCCTGTCACAGATATCTGATCTTGCTAGCCGCTTTCCTGAGCTGAAGACACTAAGAAGTTGTGATTTGCTACCAACCAGTTGGGTTTCTGTGGCATGGTAAGTTCATAATGGTATATCTGTTTCTTCACATGCAAGTTCAGTTACTTATTGGTTCACATGGAATTGTTGTAGGTACCCCATATACAGAATACCCACAGGACCAACACTAAGAGATTTGGATGCTTGTTTTTTGACATTCCATTCTCTTTCTACACCCATGCAAGGTAACAGAAAATTTCTTTTTTCTTCTATAGTTTCAATTACTTGAAATAGGAAAACTCCTATGTGCCTCTACTCCTTCTCCACCCCTCCAACCCACCCATAGAGATACACATGTATTGGCGTATCTTTTTTAGTTCTTAACCCAATATTCTTTTATTCTTTCTTAAAGGTGGTAGAAATGCACCGACTCCATTAGTGGCCTATCCGAATGGAATGGATGGTATTCCCAAGATATCTCTACCAGTTTTTGGTCTGGCTTCATATAAGTTAAAAGGATCCATGTGGATTCCAAATGGGGGTTCTGAGCGTCAATTGACAAACTCTCTCTTGCAAGCTGCAGATAACTGGTTAAGACTTCTTCAGGTCAATCACCCTGATTTCCAGTTCTTCGTTTCACATGGGACATGCCGCAGATAACCAATATGGGGAAACTTGCCCAACTCATTCAGTTTATCATTCCGCAACAAGGGCCAAGTTATGCCTACTGGTCGAATCATAAGCGGACATAGAGGTAGAGCCTTGTGGAGGTAGAGATACAATTAATTTTTTTTTTCTTTTTTTTTGGGGGGGGGGATCATATCACTTCATCTTCCAGCTGTTAAGAAAAGGAGCAAGGTGAAAAAATCAAGAAAAAAATTCAAAAGACCAAAAATGGCATGCAATGGAAGGAAAGAAGCATAATAAGGCCCTCCAGAAGTAGGGAGAAAAAAGGGAAAAGGGAAAAAAGGAGAAAAGAACAAGTAGACATAGATGAAGCTATATGAGCTGAGCTATAGCCTATTGGGCGAAGAGAAGAGTATGTGCATGTTATGTTGGGACAGTGGGTACGTTTCTTCTCGTTTAATGGCTTATAGCTTTATATTATTATATATAAATTATATCTATATTATTAAATTATGAGAACAGGCCTTTTTAGTTTGTCCTGAAAACCAGCGAGTGTTTCATGTTTTGTCGAGATCTAGTTTTTAAGGGGATTTTGATGTTGGCGATAAAAGGGCTTAATTTGAGTTGCCCTTCTGGTATTTATTGCTATGTCTTCTAGACTAACTTGTTTTTGGACGTTTGGCGGCCCCCGAGAAAAAGAAAGACAGGAAAGAAAATTTTGTAGAACTTGTGATGTTAAGAACGTGCTTATATTAATGAAGAACTGATGTTTAGAAACATATCTGCTTTGTGGTGTTTATTCTCTTTTTATATTTTCTTTCTTTGGCTGCCTTCCTGCCTCCTTGTTGTATAACGCACGATCATTTGGCCTTTGAACTCTGAATATTGCTTTTGCTATGTGGGTAACGTCACATTTACTAGCATTTTCCCTTCTGGGGCTTGATCTATCATCTATGGATTCTATTTCTATCGTGTTCAAGCTGTTGGGCACTTATTCGTTCCTAGCGTCGCTGTCCCGCCCCCACCCCACTGCTTTGTCTTTGTCCAAACGGACGGACGGAGGCAAGTGGATGGTTTGAACTTGTTCTCTTTAGCAGATTCCATCATGGGTTTTAGTCCTGAGGCTGAGGGAAGGTCCTCTCAGAAAAGCTGTCCCCACCGGAGAGTAGAGAGGAGGTGCTTCGGGACTTCTGGTTTCATACTCATGGCGTGCAGTCACTTGCACTTGATTGAATCCTTTGCCATTGCATCTCTGTTGGGTTATATAAACCACGTTAGTTGCATCTATACATTCCATATGTACAGGTGCCTTGCTGCAAATTCTGTAATGTTGGATATGAAAACAGAGGCTCCAAGCTCCCTCACCAACGTAGTACCGCAGCTCGGCAGCTGTAATTGACAGTTTGATGGTCATGGACTTGAATCTCCCTGCAGCCACCTCCATTTTTGGACTGTCCTTAAAGGCCCGAACCATCCAAATGCAATAAATAAACATATGGACACGCTAAGGCCTCAAACCAAGGTTAAAAGTATTGATATCGTGCTGGTGGCTTTCCCATATGCCCCTACAGAGGGGGTGTAGCCCCCCTGAATCGTTTTTGAAAAGAAATTAAAAAAAGGGTCGAAAACACTATTATCGCCCAATATGCCCCTACCGGCGTATTGGACATATTGATATTTTGAACTTTGCCTCCAACCGAAATTCATGCCACCTGGTATTTTGAATTTTTAAACAAATGGAGTTTTGTCTCCGTGGTTTATTAGAAATTTAGACGTTGCAGAATGGTTCAGAAATGTATTACCGTGATATCGTCCATACATTCAACAGTATTGTACTTGGACCACAGGATGGTTAGGCCATGAGAACTAGGAACTTGCAGGTAAAATTGTTAATTTGGTCAAACTTAATCTCTCTCTCTCTGTATATATATAGTAGTTGATATCAGAAAGTTAACTGTATGAAGTATATTGGGATGAACTTGGAAAGCATATTCTCAAGGGCGATTCCGCTTTCTATCTTGTACTCCGGTTGAAGCTGAGGCGCTTCCTTCGTAGGTTGAGGTTTGCTTTGGAGCTGTAACTACTCACTACAATCAGTTAGTTTTGAAGGCAATACATTCATTCTTGTCCAATTTCTGCTGGTGGGCTTCTTCGAAGTTCGAACCACCGTGGTGCTTCTGCCTAATTAGAACCGTTATTGCTAACTGCATAAGCATATCCTTATACGCCTTTTGTCTAAGTTTCTTTGGTTAGTTGAACAGCCAAAGTGCCGCACACCTATTTGCTAGAAATGCAGTAAAAAAAATAAAAAGGCTAGAAAAGCTTTAAATTTAGCCAAACCTTAAAGTTAAGGTTTAGCTGAACGCTTTAGCTGTTCAGCGGGCTGTGGAATCAATGGTAAGATTTTATGCCAGTATTTAAATATATCGGGCCTGTATCTTTTACAGTGAGGCTCATAAATTTATTACTAGCGTGAAACCTTATTATTGATTCCACAGCGTTCAAGCTAATCTGAATTCATCTCAACCTTGCCCCTGGGCAGTGTGCTCTGATTTCGTCAAAACTACCATTGAGATTGATGTATCAGAACTTAGAAGATTGAATGATTTTTGTGCTCATCTTGCACTTCAAAATAAAAGAATAAGAAAAAAGTAAAAGAAAGAAAGCATAGTGGAACGTATAGGATGTTACGGATCTACGTTAGAGTTTAACAATAAGACAACATGCAACTTTAAATTTTAAATCATCTTTATAAAATTCTTCTTCCAATTCCCAAATTTTCACAAGGAATTTGGTAGGTCACACTCCACCTAAAATTATCTCTTAAAGGGGCTACAAGATGCTTAAAAAAATGGGGCCACAAGATCTAAGAGGACCTAAAAAGGATACGGAATGAAGTACTAATAAATGATTTAATGATTCATAATTTAACAATGGTGGAAAAGGATTCAGTAAAAGATGATAATGACATAACAAGATTAATACATTTATGGGATTTGTAGGTAGTATGGTGTCAAAATCCAACTATTTAATAAGAACCAATAAACAATTTAAAAATAATTGGACATCTCTCTCTCTATATAATATATATATATATATATATTTATATCTATCTATTTATCTATCTATCTATCTATATACACTACTATTAAAAGTTGGAATGAGGTCTTTATTTTGATTTTTTTTGACAAAAATATCCCTATTGTTAAATTTGATTCCTCTTTATTATAAGGGCAAAGCATAATTTGAATTACTACTTATATTAAATCTATTTTATACCTTATTATAAAGTCTTATATTTAAGGTATTAATATCCATCCCTCTCATTAGATCCTATATTTACTGTATATTAAATAAATGAACTTTGTGGATATTTTCTTAACAAAAACACCCCTATTTTTTTTAATTTGGTCATACTTTAATTATGAGGGCAGAAAATGTAATTTAGACTATTACTTTTCACTTCTTTGAATTTCCTCTCATTAATGTGTTAGTTCCCAAAGAGATCTCTTATTTGAAGTCCTTTTATTTCTCACCGATAAATTCTATTAAGTAAATCTATACCCAATAGTTTTAATAATATCTATCTATCTATCTATCTATATAATTATATATATATATATATATAATAATTTTATTTAAAAAAATATTTTTTCTCAAATCGAGCTTGAGCCGAGCCGAGCCGAGCTTGAGATCAAGGTTTTAGCTCGAACCGAGCTCGAGCCTTGGACTACCTTCGCAAGCCGAGCTCAAGCCTCGTACTATTCGGCTCGGCTCGGTTCAGCTCGAATCCACCCTTGGGGTAGGGTAAGAAACATAATTAAATGTATCCTTGCCCCCCCACCCCATACTTAAAATGTCCCACTAAAAGGTTAAGGATCTGTCTGTAACACTCCAACTCCTAAAATAAAAAAAAAACATGTTTATTTTATTTTTTTGTAAAAAATAATCTGTAATAGACCCAAACCTTTTTGCCCCATTTAATCTCTCCACCACTATTAATGGTCCAATCATTTAGGTAAAATGAGTCAACTAATGATATCATAATCAAATAATAAAAATAAAAAATAGACAGAACTACAAAAACAAAATATAGAAAATTTGGCCTATCTAAAATAATATAAAATTGTCATATTAAACAAAGATACGTGTGATGAACAAGAATGATTTATGGAAATGGAATAAAAAATTAAAATTTCTCAAAAATGAGATTGTTTTCTCTTTAGTCAAATAGATCAACATATGATGTCATAATTATATAATAAAAACTYAAAAAGAGAAAGAARGAAAAAAWTATAAAAAGAATATACAAATTTGTCAAAAAATTTGCACATCTCTAATATTATATGTTTATCATATTAACAATAATAAATATGACAAATAAAAAGTATTTTTATTAAAATTGAAAATAAATTACAAAATTTAAATTCACCAAAATACCTACATATTTTTTTTTATTAGGTTCTCACAAGGATATTGAAATTATTATTGTTATTTACTAGTGTTAGAAAATACATAATTATACATCTTTAATATGGCAAGAATCTCTAGCAACAAAAAACATGATTGGTTGAATGTGATGGTAAATATATCTTATTAAAAGTGAAAATATATTTTGTGTAAGAAGCAATGAAGCGTAACCAGACTTGTATTATTATATATGGAAAGAAAACCCATCGGACTGTATCTGTTGTTTTTAAATTAATGAAATTTCCCTTTTTCTAAATGAAAAAAAGAAATATAAAGACTTTAACCCGATTGATTGAGACCAAAATTTAACATACATAGCCAATATTAATGAATGCACTGTAGTTAAACTCCTTTAACTACCATTCGAATCCACATGCTTCACCACTCTCTCTGAGGCAAATAATCAATAATTATTTTATTAACGAATTATTTTTACTCAAACTTTCTAAAATTAAAAAAAAATCTTAATTGGCAAATTATATTGAAAGGGGCAAAATTACTAATGAACATGAAAGGGGCAAAATTGCAGTTGCCAGGTGGCAAATCAAATCGAACTTCGAAATTCATCTCACACACAGAAAGTAAAGCATTTGTGAAATCCAGTCCTTGTCCGTGACCGTGACCTTGAGTATCCGTTTCGTAAAGATGAGTCATGTTTTTTTGTCATTTGTCAATAATGCATTATTGCTAGGCCACATGACGTCAATCTTCGTTTTTATTTTTATCCAGTGCGATGATGGCACACGGTATGTGAGTGAGGTCGAGAAGTCGAAGCCATCACAGTTGACGATCACAGCATCTGGACATACCCTCAGGCCTCAGGTGGGACAACAACTTGTATTGTCTGTGAATGTCATGCTGCATGTTCTCCATGTGTCCCATCTGATACTTTTTCAGAAATGTGGGTCCACGTGGCAAGTGTCCATGTGCCGCTTATTTGGGATTATATGCATAAAATGAACACCATTTACCCGTGAAATTGGCGAAATATTGAAGCGGAAATTGGGAAAAGGAACTAGCCGTTGGGACCTCGACGAATTCAAACAATTTGGGTACGGTGGCTTTTTTTTTAATTTTTATTTTATCGGTTGTAACAACTCTTAAATAAAACCCTAGAAATCGAAGCGCTATCTCTTGTAACGTTCCTCTGTTTTTCTGTCGTTTACTGTCACTCATTTTTTTCTCTGCTTTCGATTTGAAGGAAGAACTCAAGAATCCCTGGTTTCTTCGGAATCTTCTTCTCCAACTGGTTGGATTGCCCAAATCTTGGTTGAATGTTAAACCGTTGTTCGTTTGTTTGGTTTGTAAAACATTGATTTATCTCTCTGTTGTGAAATCTAGCACTTCAAGCAGCTCTTCCATTTATGTGAGTATTTCTTTCTTTTCTTATTTTGAGGTACAAATTTTTCAGGTTCCTTTCAGGAAGGTTTTGATAGAAAGATTTAGTTAAATTAGATTTGTTTGTGTAGAAAAGCTTAAAATAGATTGTTTCTTTCGTGCCGTCTTATTTTGTTCGACATTTAGAGGTTTATGCATGAAAATAAGGAGTTCTTTAAGTAGAAAGAAAGAAATGCAACTTAAGAAGAAAACTCCCAAATGGTTCTGCCGAACTCTCTCTCTCTCTCTCTCCGAAATAGAATTGAAGTGTCTTAATGCTGGGTATTTTAAGAATATATTCAGTGTAATTTATGTCTAAATGTTTATAAAACAAAAGAAACGATGGAAACTTGATTGGACGAAGAAACATGTATGCCCACTTAAATGTTTCTCATAGAACAAAAGATGCAAAAGGTCCTCCGCCCTTTTTCTTCTTTGTTTTTTTTTTTTTTTTTTTTAATTTCTTGCTACTTTGCTAGTGTTACCTATTTCAATTGTAGAAAGTTTCAACTTAATTTAACTGGACTTTTTTTGAATTTGATTTATCACGATGATTTAAAATCGGTATCTTGAAATGTTTTGGAATACCTCCTGAATGGTAGAAAAGAGAGAAAAGAATGAAATATGCCCACTGTTGTCCTGCTCCTGAATGTTTCTTCTTCACGAATTCAAGAATTTTCTGCTGTCACTTTTTTTCTGGTGGTAATTCTTATGGAAAGTGATTAACCTAGGATCTTTTGTATTTTAGTGTGTGATTATTTTCATTAGTTGACCAGTGAATTCCTTCAGAAATTACTTTTATTGAAAATTTTAAATCCCAATTTGACTTTTCTAGTGGCAGTTTTTCACCGACCAAAACTGACTAGTAAATGGTTTAAGCAGATACATTACTGGGTCTAGCAGAGCCTAAAGGACATTATTTCAGCCTCTCTCTAGAGAGGCCCTGCTCCTGGTCTTACTCTAAATTTATCTGTTTAGAGTTATAGAAGCTTATCTAAATAAGATGACGGTTAAAAGCCCAGCTACACCAGCTTCAAAGATAGACAGGACACCAGTGTCTACCCCAGGCGGCCCAAAAGTTAAAGAAGAGAAAATTGTAGTGACTGTAAGGTTACGACCTCTTAGCAAAAGGGAGCAATCATTGAAAGACCAAGTAGCATGGGAATGTATAGATGATCATACTATTGTGTACAAGCCACCATCTCAGGAGCGTTCAATCACATCAGCCTCTTATACCTTTGGTATGAAACATGACTTTTTGTTTCTTTTTCCTACATTTTCATTTCTCAGAAGAGTCAGAGACTTGTCTGCCATTTTGTTTGACTCTTGAAACTTCTTCTAGATAAAGTCTTTGGACCTGTTTCTTTAACTGAGGCAGTATATGAAGGAGTGAAGAATGTTGCTTTGTCTGCATTGATGGGCATAAATGGTAAGGAATATGATGTCTAAATAGTTATTTTCTTGGTAATTCTAATGTAAAGAGTTACATCAAGTTTAACAGATTCTTAATCCTTTCCTTTGTAGCGACTATATTTGCTTATGGGCAAACCAGCAGTGGAAAGACATATACAATGAGAGGAATAACAGAGAAGGCTGTAAAAGATATATATAATCATATAATGAATGTAAGTTTTTTTGTATTTGTTATCTCATGGTTCATATTGTGTCAGTAAATTAGGGTATTAGTTGAAAAAGAGTTCCATGGAACTTCTGTAGTTGCCAAACTGATATTATGTTGTTATTTCCACCTCATCTGACAGACTCCAGAGAGAGATTTTACCATTAAGATTTCTGGACTGGAAATTTATAATGAGAATGTCAGGGACCTGTTAAATGTAGACTCTGGTCGCAATCTTAAGCTTTTGGATGATCCAGAGGTACTCTTATGAACAAACCTTATCAAAAAGAATTGCTCTGTTTTTCTTTATGTAGCTTATTTTTCAGTTGGACTTGCTTTAATTTATGCATGCAGAAAGGAGTTGTGGTTGAGAAACTGGTAGAAGAAACAGTGAGCAATGACCAGCATTTGAGACATCTGATTAGTATTTGTGAAGGTAAACGAATTCTTTTCCTAAATTCTACTCCAAGTATGTGTTGATTAAAGTTTAATGCCACCTTTATGAATTGGTATTCTGTATCTTTGCAGCTCAAAGGCAGGTGGGTGAAACTGCCCTAAATGATACCAGCTCACGATCACACCAGATAATAAGGCTGGTAAGTCTGACGGCTTTTGATTTTCTTTAGAACCATGTGCTTTTATATTTATTTAACATTTGAGGACACTGTTGTTATTTAATGTTGCCAATGCAGACTATAGAGAGCACTCTTCGTGAAAATTCAGGTTGTGTGAAGTCCTTTGTGGCGAGCTTGGTAAATTCATCCACAATTTCTCATTTGGGATTTTATGGAGTATATATTCTTTGTTCATATTAATATTGGTTGTTGGTAATTCTGCAGAACTTTGTGGACCTTGCTGGCAGTGAAAGAGCTTCACAAACAAATGCAGATGGTGCTAGGCTCAGGGAAGGATGCCATATTAATCTTAGCTTGATGACTCTCACAACTGTAATCAGGAAGCTCAGGTGAGAAGAAAATTCATTTTCTTATGAATAGTGGTTTGTGGTTTTGGCAATTTCATATAACCATGTTTAAGATTTTCCAAAGGTCAGTGTCCTTATCCATTCCATCTCTTCCAAGACACCCTCCGACCTCCACAGATAGCTTGGACCAACATTGACAATTTCATAATGACCTTTTACACCAATATGTAAAATACATAAATAAGCAGAAGAAGGAAATCAAATAGTAAAAGAAAAATGAATCTGAAATATGGTGAACTATCAAAGTTCGTGGTAAGGATATGAAAGAAAATGCAAAAAAAATTGACATTTGAGTATAAAAAATATGTTCCTGAAGTGGAAGTAAGTTAAATGTGTAAATGTGCAAATGAATGAAGTCAGAACTAAGATGATAAATGGCCAAACAGGCCTTGCTGGTGTATATGTACTAAGGGTCGAGTTTAAGGTAATGAATCAGTATAGTTATAGAATGAAATATATAAGCAATAAATCCTCTATACAGATTATCCCTAATATGAAAAGCACTCAACATATACTGCAAAGTGCAAACTAATTTCAAAGTCTGAATATAGAGGTGCCAGAAGATAGGTTATGTAAAAGTGAGTGACTGAGTTCTAAGGGTCGAGTTTAAGGTGATGAATCAGTATAGTTATAGAATGAAATATATAAGCAATAAATCCTCTACACAGATCATCCCTAATATGAAAAGCACTCAACATATACTGCACAGTGCAAACTAATTTCAAAGTCTGAATATAGAGGTGCCAGAAGATAGGTTATGTAAAAGTGAGTGACTGAGTTCAGAATTAGATGATAAATGGCTAAATAGAACTGGTTGGAAGTGTATCTTGTACTAAGCATCAAGGCAAATTTAAAATGGTGCCTTAGATAGTTATAAAATGAAATACTAGTAAATATGGATATGTCCTAATTTTATGAGATGCAACCAGCAGATCAAGCAAACTAATTTCAAAGTCTGAATATAGAGATATCAGAAGACAGTTGAATTAATTTATGCTCATACAAGGAAGACAGATGAATACAATGGTTGTTGTTGCCTTGGTTTTAGTGAGATTCAAGGATGCCAGTGGCAAGATTTTAAGTGACTGTCATATTTTAGCTTAAGGATGGTATTGTTGTATGTTGGGGCTGGATGGATTTCTGGCAAGAAATTTAATTTCCGCAATGAGGTGGAAAAAGCTTGGGTCTTTTATTTTCTTTCTTTATTTTTTGCAAAGTTTCCTCCTTGTTTTTGGGTGGAATTTGAAAGGGAATTCAGGAATTATGAGTTTGGGATGGAAAAACGGAAAGGGAATGAGGAGTATATGAGGATAGAGAAGAGGAGAGGCCCAAATTAGTTATTTATTTTTTCTTTTTTATTTGGGTTAGGAATTTCCATTTTTTTAAGTATTGCATATATCTTGAGATTGAATAGAAGTATTTTGTTAATGATTGTTTCTGTAAGCAGTGTTGGGAAAAGAAGTGGTCATATACCTTACAGAGATTCAAAGCTCACCCGCATATTGCAGCACTCTCTTGGTGGGAATGCCCGTACTGCTATCATATGCACACTGAGTCCAGCATTGAGCCATGTGGAACAATCTCGAAACACTCTCTCCTTTGCTACCCGTGCGAAGGAGGTCACAAATACTGCCCAAGTAAACATGGTATTGATCTTTGTTTCCCCCTTGCTTGGAATTTTTTTCTTTGGAAGCAGGATTTATTTGTTTGCATCATCAAAATGGTTTTCTGGTGAATAACTGGTATTTAAACAAAATATTGGGGATAATTGTTTCTTAATCAGGTTATTTCAGACAAGCAACTGGTGAAACATTTGCAGAAGGAAGTGGCCCGACTTGAAGCAGAGTTGCGCACCCCAGATCCAGATGCTTTGTCAAGGGAAAAAGATATGAAAATTCGACAGGTACAAAATGTACATCTGATGTCTGTCTTTGGGTTTTGTCAATATTCTTAATATTTATTTTCTTGTTGTCTAATGATATATGCAGATGAAAATGGAAATTGAAGAACTGAAGCGCCAAAGAGATCTTGCACAATCACAAGTAGATGAATTACGTAGGCAAATGCAGGAGCGACCAGTATGGACCTCTTTCCTTCCCCCTCTCCTCCCTCTCTCTCTCTCCATTTGGTTGGGTTACTCATTTCTCTATATTTGCATTTTAAATTCAGGTTTTGAACCCATTTGAGTCACCTCGTCCTGTGGCAAAATGCCTAACTTTTTCTGGTCCCTTGTCATCAAAGCTTGATAAGCTTGATGGAAAAGAACCTCCCCAAGTTGATAGAACAAGAAATACGATGGGAAGGCAGACCTTGAGGCAATCTTCAACTGCTCCATTCACACTCATGCATGAAATTCGCAAACTTGAACAGCTCCAGGAGCAGCTTGGTGATGAAGCACAGAGAGCTCTGGAAGTTCTACAGAAGGAGGTTGCTTGTCATAGGCTAGGAAACCAAGATGCAGCTGAGACCATTGCCAAACTTCAAGTAGAAATAAGGGAAATGCGTGCAGTGAAATCTGTAGTGAAACAGATTGAAGTTGGAGATGTGGTTGCTGTCAACAAAAGTGTCAGTGCTAATCTCAAAGAAGAGATTTCTAGGCTTCATTCACAAGGAAGCACCATAGCCAATCTTGAGGAGCAGCTAGAAAATGTTCAAAAGTCTATAGACAAGTTGGTGCTCTCTCTTCCAAGTAATAATGAGCAGTCTGATGATGTTCCTACAAAATCTAGGAGTCAAGTGAAGAAGAAAAAGATGCTTCCTTTGTCCTCAAGCAATAGTGCTAACCGACAGAACCTTATAAGATCTCCCTGTTCACCTCTGTCTTCAACTCGAGATGTACTAGAGTCTGAGCTTGAGAACAAGGCTCCAGAGGGTGATGACAACAAACCCAATGAGACTTTGCCAGGATCTGAGAAAGTGACTCCAACAAAGAGTGAAGATGGTGGAGATATCTCATCAAGGGAAGGTACACCTTGTTATCACCGTTCGAGTTCCGTTAACATGAAAAAAATGCAAAAGATGTTTCAAAAAGCAGCTGAGGAGAATGTGAGAAGCATAAGGGCATATGTTACAGAACTGAAAGAACGTGTAGCAAAACTGCAGTACCAAAAGCAGCTACTTGTTTGCCAGGTATAGCCTTGGCTTTTCTGCATTTAAGTTCTGGTTAGGTATTTCAATTCTTAATCTGTTGTGCATAACTTTCCTTATTTTTAATTCATCAGGTGTTGGAGCTAGAAGCAAATGAAGCTGCTGGATATGACTTGGAAAATGATGAGGGTGCAACTGAACAAGAACCAACTATACCGTGGAATGTCACATTTTGTGAATGGAGGCAGCAGATCATTGAGTTATGGGATTTATGTCATGTGTCAATTATACATAGGACACAATTCTACTTGTTATTTAAGGGTGATCCAGCTGATCAGATTTACATGGAAGTGGAGCTTCGTCGATTAACATGGTTGCAGCAACACTTGGCAGAACTTGGAAACGCAAGCCCAGCCCACCTGGGAGATGAGCCTACTATCTCTCTATCGTCAAGGTCACTTTCTCTCTCTCTCTCTCTCTCTCTCACACACACACACACGCACACCAACTCGACTAGCATAATTCATTTTGTTTTAATGGTTATTAGATATATGAGGCATATTTTTGATATGTGCAGTATCAGAGCATTGAAGCGTGAACGGGAATTCCTTGCAAAAAGGTTAATGACGAGATTGACTGCAGAAGAACGGGATGTATTGTACATAAAATGGGATGTTGCACTTGATGGGAAGCAGAGGAAGCATCAATTTGTAAACAAACTATGGACTAATCCTCATGATGTTAAACATATACAGGAGAGTGCTGAGATAGTGGCAAAGTTGGTAGGGTTCTGTGAAGGTGGCAATGTCTCCAAGGAGATGTTTGAGCTCAATTTTGCACTTCCAGCAGATAAAAGACCATGGATATTGGGCTGGAACCCAATTTCCAACCTTCTACATTTGTAAGAAAGCAGCTTAGCATTTATTGCAGTTCCTTTCAGAACCACAAGTAGCACGGTTCCAAATTTCAAATGCAGATCTTTTGTATATATATGACATCTCGAGGTTTTCTTCTAGACATTGAATTTGTTCTCCTGCAATATGATGCGATATAACTGGTTCAACTGCATGGTGCACCAGCTAATTTGTAATTCTCATTCTTTACATAAAATTATTTGATTCATTTATTCTTTCCTTGAGAAGATACGTCCGTTGTGCAGTCATCGAGTAATCATCATTTTATATGCCTTCTGAAATTTTCTTCCGTAACCAAATTTACATTACTAGAAAATAAATAAATATATTATTTATTACTAGTTTTGTTACTAGTTATTACTACAACATTTAGGTACATGCATGGTTTGTCCAGCCACACAATGCTATTAGTGGGTTGAACCCTAATATGAAAAATACAATGGTAAGAGTTACACGGGTTAGCTTTACAATATAACACAATCTGATGATGGACTGAAACTAGCATGACAACCTAAGTGCCTGTTGGTACATGCCAGTTCGGCAACCTTGCTGCCTCAGCAGAGAGTTAATCAAATGCAAAAGAGGGAAATAAAAAGCCATCACCCAATTTGGGGGAGGGGGCTGGACTGAATTAACCCAAACCTTTTCATTGTGTGGGATCCAGTGTATTGTTACCACCACGATGGTACCAGAAGATTCAGAAAGATGCTCACTTTCACTTGTAGTAACAAACAATTCTAATTGAATTATTTGTTAAGAGAAACTGAACAAAAAAACTTTCTATTAGCCTCTTTCTGATGCAGAGTAGTATATATGATAACAAAACTGTTACCTTGGATAAAAAATGGCGTCTAAATGGAAGGTTTGCAAGTGTAAGTTTTCTTTTTGTTTTTTTTTTTTTTTTGTGCAAATGTAACTCGTATTCTAGTTCTGAACCCTAACTCTTTCAGAGGCTCTTAGGCACCGAATAAAAGGTCTCTGCTCCCATTAGAGCTCTAAGCTCAAACTTCTTTTTCTGGGATGACGTCTACTTCACTAAATTCTTTAAGTAGTTTCTTGCAAATTCATCACTTTGAGATCATATATTGTGGATACTCTGTGGATTAGTTGGTTTTGGAACTGCCTCTTTTTTTTTTCTTTTTCTTTTGGATAAACTAGAAGCTTCACTGATCGGTTGCAAGGTGTACATCAGAGACAGGGATGCAACATGTTTTCCGATCATTGGAATATCACACATTTTAGTCCACGATAGAATGTTGTGTGGTTCAGTCATTCTGTGGGTTGTTGACTGACTACTTACGTATTTCCATTATCCCCGTGAATCATTGTGTGGACCACAAGCCATTGTCATACTTTGAACACACACAATTCATGAAGGGCTGAAGGCAAAAGATGATACTGATAACATCAAACTCAACTACCAACGCCTAAAGATGGAAGCTTTAAGAGTGGACGTCCTCATTATTTAGTCCAAAAGGGTTTTGAAGAGATTTTGATTTAAAATAAGCAAATTCCCCTTTTTTCTGGAATTTTTTGGACGTTTTATACCCCTTTTGTTTAAGCACATATGGGCATAAAGAGGGCATATGTGTTATTTATTGTCACTTCAGAAACTGCCTATTCACAACTGTTCAGTAACTACCCACTTATAAGTTATAACCATTCAGAAACTGTCAATGAATTATAAATAGTTTTGTCTTAGAGATAATGCCTATATATATATATTAATATTCTTATAATATAGTTTTGATGTAAAAACAAGCGGTCAGCAAAAACATGCATATAATATGCCTTTTCTTTTGTAAATCTTCTAATTAAAAAGTATTTCCCCCCAAGGATTAGAAGCAATTAGTGCTTTTGACTATGTTTAAACAGATTATATTTAGGATCTGTTTTATAAAATTTTATCTATCTATATATTATATACATATAGCACAAATTTCTGAACCATGTTAAACCTCGTGTTTTAATGTTTTGTCCTTTTTATAGTATTTTTATTTTTTTTGGATCAACACTAAAATAAGACAAAATTCTTTCCTTTTATTGTTTTCTACTTTATTTAATTTGAAGTTAAAAGTGGGCAAGATTTATGGTGCAAGGATTGCACCGTGAAGAATAAAAAAAACTAAACCAGTGATAAAACGAGGAATAATCACAACTGACATTTTTAACATCGTTAGTCTTGATGGTAAATACACCTATAAAACGTAAACCAATGAAAATCAAATAGACCATATAACATTTTTAAGTGATTGGTTAAAATCTTAATTTAAGGTGCAGCAACTATTGGTAAATGCACCATAGTTAGTCTCAAAATGTTGGCTTCAAAACAATTTTTTTTTTTTTTTCTAGTTAGAAGGATAAAAGGGAGATTAACCAAATTTAGGAGCTCTTTTACACATCTCTGGAAAACCTGTACCAGGTCCAAAATTGTCCAATATAAATATAAATAGTTTGCAATGGCAAAAAAACATGGGCTTGAGGACATAGAACCCATAACCAGTTTGGGGTCCCATAATTTGCAATAAGATGTTCTCTTTGAAGTAAATAATTTGTATAGTGGCCAAAAATTCTGGTTGAACTCTTTGAAAGTTATGAAAATAATGCAGGTCCTCTCTTAGTTGGAAGCCATGAAATGATAGGTTGATTTTCTTCTGAACGCTTGCCATAAAGGTTAAAAATGCAGGAAATTCATATTTTGTTTTGATAATACAACCTTAATGAGGAATCAATCAAGACAGAAGACGTGAAAAAGAAGAGACAAAAAAAATAAAATATACACAAATTAGAAGGGGAGGCAACGCCAGTTCCATGTGAGAGGCCTGAGATCCAAGTGCATCCTTCTTAAGGAATCCTGCCGCAGACGAGAAACTCAGTGGCCAACTTCATTGACAAGGTCATGAAGCTTCCTCTCTAACACCTCCGAGCAAATCTGACCCATCATGCGGTAGAAGGACATCAGATCAGACAACTGGTCCACTGACATCTTCGCCATTACATTCCTTGCTACCCTCTCCCTCTCTTCATTCATCTTCAACCTCTCCATATACGAAGAGGCATTCCTAACTGTTGCTCCCATTTGTTTCAGTCTCTTCTCCTGTTGTAAACTCAAAGCTTTGTTCGACTGCATTAACAGAACAGAGATTTTAACAAAGTTGTCAAAAGTAATTGAATGACAAAACCAAACACCACATTGTCTATACCAATCATACCTCCAGGAACTCGGCTCCAGCTTCAAGATCAGATTCTCCTGATGGGGATGTCTCCCGTCTAGCATCATACATGTCTCTCGCAATGGAAAAGCTTCGGACAATAATCTTTCTCTTCTTCTCCATTTCTAGATCGAGCTTTAGAGCATTAGGCACACTGGCTGCGTTATTCAGCTTCTTCTGATATGCGATGACCGCCTTCACAAATTCCTGAACGTTGGCAAACCCAAGCACACCATATCAAAATTTTAAAATCCAATGTCACAGAGATCCTTAAAAGATCATTCCATTTTGAGATTCTGATTACCTGATAGGCAGATGGGCAACCTGGATAATCGAAATCATCCGAGTCTGATCTTCTCATTCGTTCTGGATGAAATTGGAGGCCCATTATGAACTTACCCTCTTCAGGATTATACGCATCAGGATCATAGAATCCTTCAACCAGACCATCAGGAGCGAAAGCCATTGGAACAAATCGTTGTGCCAATCTCTTGACACCTTGATGATGATAGCTATTGACATAAATCTCCATCTTCCCCTCGTCCAGGGAATCCTTGAACCAGTCATGCAAGGGGGTGTTCTCCACCACCTTCGCGGCATGCCGATGCCCGTCGTAGTTATCGTAATCGATGTGAGCCACACTCTGACCCTCTTGGCATTTCTTTGAGAGCTCTTTCCCTATGTCTTGATAAAGGGTACCCCCACATGCGACGTTAAGGACTTGTGATCCCCTACAGATCCCCATGTAGGGTATATTCCTCTCAAGACAAAGTTTTGCGAGCCGTAGTTCGATAGAATCCTTCTCTCGATCAATGGCCGTATCACTTGCATGCAATCGCTTTATTTCTTCAAGCTCCTCTGGTGAAAGCCCCGACGTTTCAGGTTCGTAGAGAGATGGGTCAATGTCTTCGCCTTCGCAAAGGAGAACACCATGAATTGGTTCGAAGCTGTCCAATAACATATGGACTCCGGTGACTCTTGGAACAATGACTGGCACCGCCCCATAGCCTACTATGAGATCGAGATGGTATTCACCTGTGCAAAAAAGGCAGACATCCTTTTCATTTATTAGAGAATGAAACCCATTTTGTCCTGCTTTTTTATTTCTTTCAACTTATTACCCAGATTAAAAACTTGGGTTGTCATGTTTTTCTGAGAAAGTTGGGCTTTCGATTAACAAAAGCAAACAAAAAATAAGAATAAAAAAAAAACGAGTGAGAATTCATGTACAGACAGAACGTACCCACGAAATCGACGAACTTATTCTTACGAACGCTTCGTCTGGAGACAATGAGAACCCTAGGGAGGATCTTGGATAGATCGGTAACCATGGCTGTGATGGGATACTGCAAGTTTTCTTTGCTACAGATAATGCTTTTCAGATTTTCTTTGCTACACAGATTTATAACACGATCGAAAATCTTATAAGCATATTCTCTGGTCTCTGCGTCTGGCAGCCTGTCCAACTAAAAAAAAATAAGAAAGAGAAATCTAGCTAGCAAGATAAGGTTTAGGTTTGTTAAGTTAGAAGATGATTTTGTTTACTATTTTTCTGAACGGGGCTGACTGATTCTTTGGAACCAGAAGGAAGAGAGAGTCCAGATGCACTAAGTTTATGCGCCGCGGATTAACGAATTTCCACGGGATAGGGTTTTTCTATTCTAAGATGGAGGTTGACACGCATGCACTTATGTGATGTTGGTGTTATCACATGTGCATTTTTTTTTTTTTAATATATAACTAATAAACGAGTCAAACTTGGCTACAAACCAGCAGGAAGGAAGGACGACCGACGACGTTACGATGGAGGAGGGATGAATGAGAGAGTTGGGAAAGAGCTTTCTGGAACTGGAAGTCTCATTAGTTGAGGTTGAAACAATCTTGATACAGGATCTGACTCAGAGAAACGTGCGGAAACTGTACGGGTGGCTGACTATCGACCACAAAGATAATTAATTAATGGAAAATTGTCCAAAATCCATTATTACTTTTTCTGAATTCTCTTAAAATCACAACGATTTTTTCAAAACGTTCAAAATTCACCATGTCAGTGAGATAACGGTAATTTAATTTATCATTTTACCCTTTATTGGCCGCTGCTTCCCCTTCGTTCGAGAACTTGAAGAAGAATAAGATGCGTCTGAGAAGAACAGTCTGAGAAGAAGAACAATCCGCAATTTCTCATCGATCGCTGCTTCTCTCGTACCTTCGTCTGAGAAGAAGAACGGTCGAATGCTCATGAAGACTGTTCCCATCGTCTGAGAAGAAGAGCAGTCGGAGTACAGTCCGCAACTTCTCACCGGCCGCTGCTTTTCTCATTGTCTGAGAAGAACAGTCGATTATTGCCTCTCTCATTGTCTGAGAAGAAGAACGTTCGGAATATTGCTGTTCATATTTATGCACAGACACATACACCATTAAGGTTCCTTTACAGGATTTTTCCTTCATCTTACAAACCTTTTGACTGCCTAACCTTCTGAACTTGCTCAACTGGAGCTATTGCATCTAAACTAAACATCTCCAGGATTTCCATGACCTTTCTTGTGCGACAAATCCAAAGATTTCATGCTCCTTTGAAACCTCACTCTCGACAGATCAAAGTCCAGTTGGTTATTAGATAGATTGACCGACGTTGCTGATGCATTCTCCCTGAACAAAATCGACGCGTCCCTGACGAGATTGTTATATGACAGATCGATTCTCGACACGTTCAATTGTCCCAGAGATCTGGGTATCTCACCGGAGAGCTGGTTGTGAGACAGAAACATGGAAAAACCACCCAGCACGTCTTCATTGAATCCCCCAAACGGGTTGGGTATGTTTCCAGTGAGTCTGTTCCATCCCAGGCTAAGAAGCTTAAGTTCATTGAGGTTGACGAGGGAAGGCAGGATCGAGCCGGAAAGCTAGTTGTAGGGCAACTCCATCTCCCGGAGATTTTTGAGTTGGCTGAGGAACTCTGGGATGGGGCCGGAGAGAGTGGTGTTACGTATGGTGAGGGATACCGGATTCTGAAGCTTTGTGAATGATGAAGGGATGGAGCCAGTGAGGTTGGGGATGTCATAGAATGCAAGGGCCAAGAGGTGGGAGAGGTCGCCAATGGCTGCCGGAATTTTGAAGGGAGATTTGATAGATTCAAAGACTTCACCGGAATAGGCCTCGCACCCGACGTGGCTCCAGTCACAACATTCCTTGCTGGAATTCCAGTCTGCAAAGTAGTCGTGGATGTTCAAAGATTCTTTGATTCTCAAGAGGGCTCCATTGTTCGCTGGGTTGCAGCGAGGAGTGGAATCAGAGAGAGCTGGAGATGGGAGAGAAGATGAAACGAGGAGGAAGAGTAGGATGAAAGAAGAAGTATAGGAAGAAAAACTTCCATGGGAATCCATTTTCATTGCTTGTTGATAATTAAGTATGAAGAAAGTGCAACAAGTGTGTTAATTTATATGCATTTTGGTCAAAAAAACTTCTATGAGAATTTAGAAAAAGTGATGGTGGGTTTTGCACTATTACCGCTAATTAATATATAACGGACTGTCGAATCGAACCATTTGAACAAGTGGGTTTATAGTTTATATTAATGTTTTAAAAACCGGTCCAGAATCTGAACCGTTTTTGCATCTGGGTCATGGGTGACCGATTCGACCATCTGGGTTGAATGGTTGAGGCCGTGACATCATAATTAAAAATATTAAAAATGAGAAAATATGTGTTTAAATGCAAAAAAAAAATGAAAAGAAAATAAAAACCAATTGGAAAATATAGGGAAAGGAAGGAAAAAGGTAAGGAAACCTATACACGATTTGTAAAGGTTTCTCTACCTTTCCCTTCCTTTCTCTACTTTTTCCTTCAAATCAAACATAGCCTTAAGGGAATTATGGCCTCCCTTATAAATAAATTACCATACTTGCATGGATTGCTCTGCCACCACGACTTCTGCAATCTCTTTCTCTCTCTCTCTCTCTTAGTAGGATAGCAAATCTTGAATTCCCTTTGATGTTACAAGAATGAAAAATAATGGGGCGTTTTCAAAATACCAGGTTAAAAATTGCCACCTATACTAAGAAGTCCTGATTGGTAGCACTTGATGGCTGTGTTAGGGGCTGTTTTTACCAATAATATAACACCCCAAATTAGCCATTAAGGCTCAGTTTGGATGAGTATAAATGAAAATATGTAGAGTCTAAAACCTTATATTTTGTATTATTTTATATGTATTTGCACTGTACATATTTGTATTTGTACACTTTTCAAACTAAGCCTAAGGGGGTGTTCTATAGCGTAGATGAGAAATTTGGTGGTATGTGTGGTGTGGATGAAAATGCACCACCCCCAACAAAGTAGTTGTTCTGCACCATGGACAAAGATGTGTGGATTGAACCACACCACACCTCCATAGGTGTTTTACAAGGTTTATTGCATTTTAGTCCACACCTTGTGTTATGATTCCATGCATCTCAGTTACAACATAGGTTAACACATGATATGACAGTAATGGGAAATTGAGAATGCTTCTCCCCAAATCCAACTAATTTTACAGTAGCAGGTGCATAAATTCTTACTAGTGGTGACGATAGTTGTTGTAGTGACAGATAACAAGGGTAGGGGTGCAAATGGATCAGATCATGACCCGATCTGATTTGAGATCTGATCCTATTTGGTCGAATTCGGATCACCCTTGTTTGGATCTTCGAGTCGGACAATAGTATCTAATTAGAAATTGGATCAAATTCGGATCACTCCTCTGATCCGAGAAGATCTGGTATGATATTTTATATAAATATATATAATACATATATATGCTATTTATTTATTTATTTATTTATAAATATATTATTTATATTGTCTTTTTTGTAAATTTGTTATATTATTTATTTTTTTAATAAAAACATGTATATATATGATGAAAACAATTAAAAAATAGTTGTATTTTTGTTTTCCTTTATTTAAATTGGTATGTTTTAATTTTCTTTTAATAATTTATTATTTTTTAAAGAAAACAAAACGGATCAGATTAGATTCGAATATTCGACTTCTCGATCGAATTCGAATTCAGATCCTTGCCTATTAGATCTGATTGGATCAAATATATAGTGACCAGTGTTGGATCAAATTTAGATATACCTTGATTCGAATCCGATATGATTCGTTTGCTTCCCTAAAGGCGGGAAATGGTGAATAATGGCGAGCTTCTACCCAACAACGGATTAGCAGTGACAAGCTTGGTAATGACCAATGAAACCAAACAATAAGAGGGAAATATTGCACAAAAAAAAAGCAAAACGATTGTAGAAAACAGAGGAGATGAATCACTTACATCTGATAGCCCAATGATGCAATGATGTTCAGAGTAGCAACAATGCCTGACATGAGATAGAGAGGTAGCAAACATGAGCTTCACAATGGTGAGCTCTAACTACAATGGTAATATGTTGAGAGTAGTGCAAAGCATGGAAAGACACACTATAAAGTAGTGGGAAGCATGGAAATAGATTGGAGATAAATATCCACGATAGCAATGGACTATCCACGATAAATAACTGTGGACGATATTTTGCCTTGTGGTGTAGACCGATCCACGATATAATGTGGTTTGGTCTACACCGCGGTGCAACCGAACCACTGGTTTTGGGGTGGCGTGTTTGAAATGCAATATCTTGTGGTGCATCCACACCATTTAAGTGTGTATTCCCCATAACCATTCAAGTCCCTCTTTTTGAATTTATGGATGACGTGGGGCATTACCATTGGTTAAACAGTCTCTAATGGACCTATCATGGGCCAAGATAGGCTTAGCTTTTGCTAAATTTTGAATGGGCCTAACATGAAGCATGAGTCCAAAACAATGTAAAATGTTCCTAGAGATAGGGGTGCAAATGGATTGGATCATGACTCGATCCGATCCTATTTGGTCGAATTCGGATCACCCCTGTTCGGATCGGATATATTATATAATTATAAGTATAAATATATATAATACATATATATGTCATTTTATTTATTTATAAATATACTTTTTATATTATATTTTTGTAAATTTGTTATATTATTTATTTTTTTATAAAATATGTATATACACGATGAAAATAATTTAAGAAATATTTGTATCTTTTGTTTTTTCTTTATTTAAATTAGTATATTTTATTTTTGTTTTAATAATTTATTAATTTTTAAAGAAAACAAGTTGGATTAAAGATCTGATTTACCGATATGATCCAAATTCAAATCGAGTCCTATCAGATCTGACTGGATCTGACATGAACAATGTCGGATCGGATTTGAATCATGATTCAAATATACCCTAATTCAAATCCGATTTGACCCATTTGCATCCCTACATAGAGAAACACATAATTAGAGCCAACAAAACAATAATAGTCCGTTTGGTTGCTGAGAAGTAGATGAGATGGGATGAGAAGAATCTTTAAAGAATATTCTTATTTTCATGTGTTTGTTTTGAAGAAAAAATTAGGAAGGGACGAGAAAGGTATGAGACGTGGGTTCCCTAAACTCTTTATGCGTCCCCATTAAGAAAGGAAACAATGAGCAATCAGTGAGAAAATTTTGTCGAAAGTGCCAACCTCGAGCGTCGTCTTCCTCTTACACATCGTCGAATAGTCTTCTCACTGGTGCCATCTCCGATGACTTCTTTCGAAGGTAAGCTCCGATTTTCAATCCTCTCATGATTTTTGTCCACTTTTATACCATTTTTATCTCCTTTGTTGAATGAGTTCCCATTCAAATCTCACTGTCCTCTACCTCTATCCTTGTTTGCCCAAATCAATCTCCATTGCCAAAAAACATTTGAACTGCAGTTCAAGGTGTTCATTTGAACGTCGAAGCTCCAGATATGGCTTTGAGCGTTTGCCTCATCCAGATATCGTGTTTTCCTTATACCAAAACGTTACAGTTTCTACCGACTTGTTTTGATATGGTGTTTGTCATTTTCAATTTCTACCATTAAAGGATAGATGGGCTTTGTCTCATGGTATAAATTTTAGGCCAGTTATAGATTTGTTTTTGTAGATTTGTTCTGTTAAAGGTTTGTTGTTTTATTTTTTATTTTCATTTTTAGCATTTTATTATGTCAATAATACTCGATCTCAAATTTGCATTTTTTAATGTGTTTCAGGTCATCTCAGGCAACCCACACAGTGGATTTAATCCACTGCAACCCATGGTTGTTATTCATCACTTGACTTGGTTACAGGTTTGACGAAATATGTATTTACATCTTTATAGGTACTAATATGACAAAATGCTACATTGTGTTCAACGGCCGTCGATTAGGATTCTAATGCCCAAGTGCATAAATTTAGTAGAGCTATTTTTTGCTCATATATATAGCACCTAGAGGCGGTATTTCAGTTGCAATAGTACCAACACAATATGTATTCAATACCCCAACACCCAATAGTTGGGAACACCTCTAGAATCCATGTAGAGAATATCAACACAGGGGTGAAAGCGTCAAAAGAACCCCATTCACAATCACTAGTAATTCTTGTGTTAGTAGTCAGTTTGATGGTTATGTTGATCTTATACTTGTTTAAATAATGGTTGCAAATATTTGATTGTTATGAAGCCAATGAACCAACTTATGACATTTGTGTTTTATGGAATTGTTATGTTAACTATTATAAGTAGGCTATATCTTAATACATACGAGTTTTTAATTATGCCATATTAACATGACACATGGTAATGTTTAAATACTATTATGCCATGTCATCCAAAAAACAAGTCTTGTGTTGTCGAATTGGGGATTATATGGATCATTCCATAATGTAGAATAAATCCAACCATCTTACAAAATTTTCTCAGCAACTAAACACTATGAAAGCAAATTTAGTAGGATAATTGATCTTAGTAACCAAACACAATTGACGGAATTGAGAAAATAAGGCCATATTTGATTCACTTCCAGTGACCTCATTCTTCTAATTCTTGCCGATTCTAGAAAAGAATAAGCAAGAATGATTGAGATATAGGTGTTTGGATATTCATTTCTTGTCGCATAATTCATTCTTCCCATCCTACTAATTCTGTTTTTTTGTTCGAGCTCGAGTCCTCTCGACTTGAACTCACTGAACCCTCGTCCCTCTCTTTCTCTCTCTCTCTCTCTCTTCTGTACAAGGTAAACCCTCGTCACTCTCTCTCTCTCTCTGTGTACAAGGTAAATCCTCGTCCCTCTCTCTCTGCTGAGATATCTCGATCTGTTGAAGTCTGTACAAGGTAAAACTAATCGACTCTTTATCTCTCTGTACAAGGTAATGGTGGGCTCGATCTGTTGAAGTCCTAAAGCTAAGTTCGATCCAAAGATCTCGAACCAAGGTAATCTCTCTCTCTCTCTCTTCTTCTTCTTCTTCATCTCCTTTTCAAGCTGCGCACAGAAGATGTATATATCCTCCTCCTCCTCTTTCTTCTTCTTCTTCTTCTTCTTCTTCTTCTTCTTCCTACTCTGTTTTTCACCTTTTCGGTTGACCACCAATATCATCCCTGTAAGCATCAAAACAAAGCAGCATCGATTAAGGTATTTGAAGTTTTGAACAATTTTTGTCTCTTCATTATTTTCCTTATTGGTATTTTTGGTATTTGTGTGTTCGAATTATTATGGAATTTATACATTTTTTATGTATAAATTGTTGCTGTTATTTTTCTTATTGCTTTGCTGTTTTTTTAAGTATAAATTATCGAATTATTTTCCTTATTGCTTTGTTGTTATAATTATGCAAATAAGCTTGAAACCACGTGAAATTTAAATCAGGTGCTTGGACCTAGACATGTTTCAGATTCTGGTTCTTGTGTCTGAGTCCATGCAAAACTGTAACCGGGTGCTTTAACCTTTGGACTATGTAATGAAGGAAAAAGGAATGCAACAGGAAATTGCAAGTCTTTGCTTGGTTATACCTGCCTCAGTGCATGGTTGTTGTCATCTTGGGTACTGCCGAGGTTAGGCAGTGAAGACAAATGTTTTTGGAAGGCTGATCTAGGAACAATTTTGGCTGAAAGAAACACGAGATTATTCTTAAATAAATATATAGTTGATGTCCTGGTCAGGTTTGCTGTGACTTTGCTCTTTTTTCATAAAATTTACCTTACATTTTCTCAGAAAAAAAGGAATGCCACATACAACTTATGTAATAACTATCCTTTATTTTGTGGGGTAGCTGCATAAGAATATCCTTAACATCTGCAGAACCCACTAACCATATATGCATGCTAACCTGGCTAGATAGTAAAAGCTCAGTTGGGTTAAAAGTACCCACTTACTGGTGCAGGAACTTGAATACAAATAGTTACTGTTTCTCCAAATATTAATAGAACTCTTAATGTATCCATCAACAAGTTGTTGTTCCTAGTGATGGTTGTGCGTTGGTTAGAAAGGAAATTTTTAGTTGAGGAGTGTTAGCAGTAGTACTGAATTCTCCATTGATGTAGATTGTATCATTATAGAGTTTTCTGAGAGGGAGAAAGAGAGTCAGCCTAAGGAATGATAGATGGTTGGTTGTATACAGTACAAAGTCATTTGGTCTAACATTGATTGGAAAGCAGGCAAAAAGTTGGCTTGGTTCTTAGGTGTCAAATGCCTCACTGAATCAGTGGTTATTGTGACCCAGAGAAATAAATAAATAAACATGTCATGCAACTCTGTGAACCTACCTAGAGATTGAGTACCTGTTGGTCCATACTTCTATCTATGAGATGTTTATTGTAACCCATACAAGATGTGGTTTCTTTTGGCAGCAAGATGGTTCTGGGCTGGACCTACAGTGACTGCAACAGTTCTCCACCAGCAAACCTCTACTCAGGAGATGATCCATTGTCAGCACTTTATCCCTCGCCACAGTCCACAGGATGAAAGCCACCTTGGCAAGGACTTGGGCCTTCCTAAACCAGCCCTAATGAACATCCTCCCTTGGGTGTGGTAACATAACCCTGTAGCTTGAGAGAAGGAACCTGACTTCTCACCTGCCCAGACTCTTCTATCAGATTAACTACAAGATATCAACCATAAAGATGTTTTATTGATATTGATAAAAAAAGTAAATATGTTTTATTGATTTGTTTGTTCTCACTTCAAAATATTAGAAATACTATAATACATGCCTTTATAGTAATATATCCACATTTGTTGCTTCAAGCATTTGTGATGGCATGTTTAGGACCTTAGGTGATTGTATAGAGAACAGAAACAACACATAAAATTCAGGAATAGTGGAGGAATTTGTCTTAGCCTTCCTCCGACCAGCAGTATGTTGATCAGGAGTTGCCACAAATGAAGCATTGCATGGGCTAAGATTAAGAGAAACCATGGAGGTGGTTGTAGGGTTAAGTTTCATCCGTATAGAAATTTACTATTCTTTGTAAAAAAATTGAAATTAATATTAAATTAACTATTTAATGCAATTCACCTAGTTACTAACTATTTGTGGCAAATTTTCAATTTACTATTTTTAGTAATTTCTGCTTTCTTTAGACAATGGTTCTTACTTTAAAGATTTTTTCAAGATTAGAAGTACTCAGGTTAAAGATTTCTGCTTGACACTATCTATTTGTCTAGAAATGCTCATCCCTAGTGAGAAGACTATGAGTGAGATCGTTGAGGGGGAATTTGAACAAGCTGATTGTCGAAGATTCAATGGGTGTATTTTTATTGGATGAGATTAAGTAGCTTAAATGGCTAAATAGCAGTATGATCTTGAATATTCAATGGGTGAGAAGATTGGCTAATTGGATGGCTGATAACTTAGCTTAGAAAGGAGTCAACAGGGATCATTTTTATTGGGCTCAGTTGTAATCTGTTCTCTTATGAGTAATGTGAGAAGTGCATCTCACACCTCTCCTTGGGGTGCTTGTATTTATGTATATATTGACTTTTCCTAATAAAATTTGAAGTTATTGAAAAGAAAAGACATTCAAATTTGAACAACCTGCTTAAGGCCTACTAAATCACTCTGAGGCATCCTAAGTTGTGGGTTTAGCTTAGGTGGGGCTTGAGTTGGCAAATGGGCTTTGACCTCAATCTATGGCCAGGCCCAAGGTCGATGTCTAGGGATGACTGGATGGGCTTGGCCGCTTGGGTCTGTCCTTAACTCTACCAATCCATCCAATGTATACCCTTACTTTATTAGAAGGAGTAGGGGAATTCATTCATTCAAAGAGATTTAAGATGAGAGAAAGAGTGATTTAATGGGAGAGGGGAGAGGTTACAAACATTGATAGTTGGAGAAAGCAAGAGTGTTAAGAAAGATAATATTATAGATAGTTAAGACTTGAGTTTCAATGGCTTTAGTCTAGGCAACCCATGGCTTTCAGGTGTTGGGGGAGTGATTAGGAACAGTGCAGGAGATATACCTGCTCTCTTTTCAGGACCAATTGGTAGGGGACTCTCACACGAGCAGAACTTTTGGCTATGCTAATGGGTTTAAGAAAGGTTAAAACTCTGAACTGCTCAAATGTCATCATTGAAGGTGATTCCAGGATTGGCTGAAGAATAGTTAGGAGGGATCATGGCACTACAGACATGCAATAAGTGAAATAAGATGTATCCTGGGGCAGTTGGAAATTAGCTTAAGTTGTTCCTAGAGTGGCAAACAGCATAGTTGATGGATTGGCAAAGCAAGGAGCAACAAGAGAAAATATGTTTCGGGGTGATGTAATTGTACAACCTACTGCCTACTCTTCATGTATTGCATTGACACTGTGGCTAGCTGAGGCTATCCATGTTTGTAATTCCTCTTTTTCATAATTTTAATAAAACTTATGCTGTTACTGATAAAAATAGTTAATTGATTTTTATATTTTTAATTTATAAATAAATAAACCACATGTATGAGGTGCTTGCAAACATTGAGGTAAAAGAATTCTTTGCCTTCCTCTTTCCTCTATATAATATAGGTATAGATTAGTTTGCACTCTCTTTGTCCTTGAACTATGTTCCAGGGTGCTGGTCAGGCATACTGGTTATTGGGGCAATTGTCACAACCAATGAAGTTCGTGCAGTGCCTGTTACATGTAATGTCAGGAAATAAATATAGATCACCAAACTTAAAAATCACCTTGACTCTGAAATATTTTCTCTGAAGTGGCCTAATAATAAAATAAATTTGACAGCTAGAAAAGGAAAGGTCAGATCTTTTCCGTTCATTTAACGGTTAAGGGTACACTTAGTCAATTGACAATAAGGGTAAGGATACATTTAGTCAATTTTCAAAGAGTAAGGGTAGAGTTAGTCAATTAGCTAAATCATAAGGGTAGTTTAAGAAATTTACCCTTTCTTAAAATATTCCTAAGGTTTAGGAAATCGATTAATTATACCCCTACTGGTTTAGTATTGTCTTAAAGTACTCTTATTGTTTTTGACAATTGACTAAGGGCCCATTTGACACGTCTTTCCGAACGGTCTTTTGGCTGTTTACAAGTTGGGAAGACCGAAAATCGGTTTGTTTCTGTTTGGCATGCAGAAGATCTAACCGCCAAAAGACAGGACGCCGAAAAGACACGAGAGACCCATTTTGGGCTGATTTTGGGAAGCTCCAAATGAAGCTTCTCGTGTCTTTTGCGTTTTAATCTTGCGCGGAAAGACACAGAACGACACACGGAAAGACTCACGTCTGCCAAGCAGTCTTCGGGCTGCCCAAATCTTATGTCAAAAGCTCAATGCGTCTTTTAACTGTCAGAGATACAAGATCTTCTCAAAAAGGCTCACCAAATGGGCCCTAAATCTTCCATATTGTCAATATTCGTTAATCGAAGGTCATGTTCGCCTTGACTTAGATCAAGGGTGTTGGTTGTTGTTTCGCCAATATTGTATACAAGAAAGCTGGCATCTATATGAACGAAAGAACTGGTGAACTATCTGTTGCTGAGCTTGAGAACCTCATGTTGATTGATGCAAATCCATGCCAATTCAAGATGTCTAATGGTCAAAATTCGGACACCGGTATAGAAAAGATGCTAGACGTTGTAGTGTTTCCTTCAACTGAGGGAGATAAATGAGGTCCAAGAGTGAACCGATGAGAATCACCTTTGCTGCTAGGTTCATTGTTCTCTTTGTGAAAGACAAGCGCTCTTGTCATGTCAATGACGATCGACGATAGAGAGGGTTCCTCCTATAACCGGTCAAAGGCAGGCTCGATCCTTTAGACGGAAAGGCAATGTCCTGGCCTCAATCAAGGATTGGAGTCTTGGGTATTTACAATCACATAACTCTTCCTATAATTATTTCACTCATTTTTCAAGTGAGTATTTTTTGTCTCCAATTTAATGCTAGAATCAATACAATTGAACCCTAGGTGGATGCGAAAGTTGTTGCCGATGGGGATACGATAATAGTTATTGCGGATACAACGGATCCCAGGGAATCCTCTATTGATCTAACCAAACCTTATCAATGCTTGCCGGTGGTGATGACAGGGAAGACTAAGAGAAGATAACGGTTGAGGATTCGTTGTTCTCGTGGAAGAAAATGGAAGAAAAGAAAGATAGAAAGGAAAAAGGGAAAAATAGGGAAGGAGAGAGAGAGAGAGAGGAGGATGATGGAAGGTTAGTCGCAGCTGTTGTTTGAGTAGAGAAAGCAATGATCTTTGCAAAAAGGGATATTTTGGGTATACTATACAATTAAATCAGACACATGAATTCACATGTAAACGGTCTAGAATGGAGACTTAACGGGAAGGGAATTGTGTGACAATTGTCAGAAATGGTAGGGTACTTTAAGACAATATTAAAACAGTAAGGGTATAGTTAGTTAATTTTTTAAACCTTAAGGATAATTTAAGAAATTTGTCAAAAAAAAAACACCCCAGGAGATCTACTACACCCGTCCCCAAGGGAAGGGTCTCCACTATATCCGTGCATATAACACAAGGCATGGTTGAACTAGTTGGTGATGAGATTGTACATTGGTCTCAAGTTGGGCTGACATGTGGACAAATGAAGAATCAGTAATTGGCCAAGCCGAGGACCATTACATATATAGTTCTCAGGAACCTAGAATTCCATGAATGAGAAGCATGATCAATCAGATCTACAACCTTACTATAACAACTGCCCCAAGGATGAAAATCAAATTATATTAATCTTGGTAACCTTATCGGTTCTAGTGAATTTTAATTTGTTGTTTACCAAAAGAACACCACACACCTTGGCCCCTAGTAATTGCATATGTTGAAGTTTCCAATTAATTACTGAAGGGGGAAAATCAGGGATATGTTTTGACATCTTGGGCTAAAGGTGGAAATGTTGTTGAATAGCTCAAACCTACAAGAAAAGGGGATATTGGGCCAATCATGATATGCCACATCAGCTTCACATGGACATTTTTATAGTAAAATGCTAATTAATGTGTGGAACTTTATCATACTAGTAAATATGCACGCATATTGTACGTGGCAATTTTAGATAACATTAATAAGTTCAATATTCTTATTAGAACCATTTAAAAAGGATAAGTAATTAAAGCATGGTGTGCTAGTGGATTTATATTTATATTTCATTTTCATTGTTAGTAAAAATACTTTTTATTTATCACATTTGCTTTTGTTTAATATGATAAATATATAATATTAGAGATGTGCACAGATTTTATAGACATTTTTTTTTGTTTTTCTATGGCCTTGTTTGGCACGTATTTCCATGTGGGGTATCAATTGTTTAGAAGCCTAGCAACCCGTGTTTTTGTCTTTTCCTTTTTGGTTGGGAGTAGATTTAGTTGGTGAAAGATTGTTTCCCAAAAAGATGCGAGAAGCCCATTTTGGGCTAAATTTGGGAAGTTCTAATTAAAGCTTTTCGGCTTTTTTCATCTTATCTTTGCATAGAAAGGCACACCTCCAACCAAATGGTCTGTGGCTGTCAAAATCTTTTGTAAAAATTTCACTGTCTTTTGGCTATCAAAGCTTCCAGAAGATCTTTCACAAAAAGACTTGCCAAACTACACCTATTTTTTTCTTTTTTTTTTATTTCTATCTGTTTTTTGAGTTTTTATGATTGTTTGTATATAACTAGGCCTAACTTTGGCTACCTAAGGGCTAGGCTTGGGCCCAACCTAAAAAAAAAAAGCCCAAACTTTTGAACCTAGGCTTAGGCCTGGGTTGAGGACTAAAAATTGAAGCTAGTCTATATAAAATTACAAGCTAGGTCAATTTGAGTTTGAGTTAAGCCCACCTAATTTGCCTCCTTATGAACCATTGACCTTCAATTAGATGTAAAAATAAATTTCTTTTTAAATTAGTTTACTTTTTAATCATATAGTTCATTAATAAAAATAACACTTATCTATCACACTTGTTTTTGTTTAATATGATGAATACAAAATATTAAAGATGCGCCCAATTGTTTTTTATTGGACAATTTGTATGTTTTTAATAATTTTGTGTCTCTATCTATTTTAAAAATTTTATTATTTATCTTTTGATATCATGGGTTTACCCGTCTGACATAAAAAGGTTGAACCATTGACCCACCACTTGAATAGGAAAATGGTTTTGTTTTTTGGTCAATTTTAAATCTTGTATTTTATTTCAATCAAATAAAAATACTTTTGTTTAGCATGTTTGTTGTTATTTAATATGATAAATAGATAATATTTGAGATGTACCTAAAACTTTCTACAAATATTTTATAATTTTTGTAATATTTATATTTATTTTTAAAATTTTATTATTTAACTATGAGAACATTGGTTGATCCATTGGACACAAATGGTTGAACTATTTGCTTGCCACTTAGACAAAAGTGTGGTTTATTTAATTAATTTTCATGTTAGTTTAGAACATGTGTTTTGCATTATTAAAAATATTGGACATAGATTTAATTTGTAGAGTTTATTGGTGAGAAACAAAAATACTACAAATGAAATTTTTAATGAGAGAGAATGAGAGGTAATACCTTAATGATAGGGAATTTAATGAAGTGAAAAGTAATACTACTTGAAATTATCTTTTTTGTCCATATAATCAAAGAGGGACTAAATTCATAAATAGGGGTGTTTTAGTCAAGAAAATCCCACAAAGCTCATTTATTTGATGTGCTTTAAATATAAGATTTAATGAAAGAAAATAGAAGTTAATACCTTAAATATAAGACCTAATGACAATGATATAATGAATTTAATAAAAAGTAGTAGTTTCAAATATATTTTTTTCTTTCATAATATAGGGAGACCAAATTTAAAAAATAAAAGTATTTTAATAAATCCATTCACACTTTTAATAGTTGTATAGATATAGATATAAATGGGAATGAAGTATGACATAGAAACCTGTACTTCACATGTATTGCGAAAAACTATGATTTCTGGTACACTTTTTTTACATACCTTATGAATTCACATCAACGGCCCACTGAGCGCGCACCACAGCATATCCCAGATGTGTATTAGGAACAAGTACAAGCACGAGAGATGTTTCCTATACATTATACTTGGCAAAAAGTTGACCAATCCGCGAATCCGACCCGATCCAACCCGAAAGAACTGGGTTGGATTGGGTTGGGTCATGGGTCAACCCGCTGACCCGATTGTCAAGTCTAATTGGGATTATTTATGCATTGTTAGAAGTTTTCACTCTTTAATTTTTTCTATTTAGTCTTTACTTTTTATTGTTTACTCTTTAAATTGTTAAATAAGTTTTTATTTTATATTTGAAATTTTAAAGTTAATTCTTTTAATTTTGACATTTTTCTTTATTTTTTAAAATTTAAATTATTTTTTGAGATGACCTGAATTGACCCATGGGTCAACCCTAACCCAGACATTTAGGATTAGGGTCTAGCATTTGACAACTCAACCCGAAATACCTTGACCCAACCCGAATCCGAACCACACAACCCGATTGCCAGGTCTACTGTGTTATATCTTTAGCCTTGGTGGTTCCGCCTCGGCCTGGCCTGGCCTCCACAGCCCATAGGGGACTGCACTAGGCTAGTATTTTAATCCCAGGCCGTGGCTGGCCCAATTTGGATACTTCAGAAAATGGGCCCCCATCCCACTTAATCTAAATTCTTTCAGCGGATACAAATTCAATCACGGGCAGGAGGGACTGTACTAGAAGACAGAGAGGCCAGTAATTAGTAGGTCACAGGCCCATTTTCTCGAATTGGGATTTCCTGCCGACAAAATAAATTCTAGCACCCTACCAATTTGATCTGATACCGCATATCTACTGGAGTCTATTATAAAAAGTGGGACATGTATGAAATGTGTCGTTGTATCAAATGATCTTAATAGAAGTAGGGTGTTGGAATGGTATCTCGTTGGCAGGTGATTCAAGCTCCACTTTCTCTCACACTCTCATAGAACATAGTAACATACCGACAAGGCGACAAATAGACGGGCGTGGTTGATGAGTAGCAGACGAGCAACCTGCTAAAGCCGGTAACCACACCGGGGGAATTGGCAATTGGCAATCCGACAACACAACCGCAGTCCAGCTATATGTTCAGACCTCAGACTAGACTAGACTAGTCCTAGTCCACTCCATCATCTTGTCGATTCAGGGTCACTAGTGCTGGGCCCCACTTCTCTGATCTCTCTCTCATCATCATCACCAATCACCATGCCCCCCCCCCGCCTTACTAACAAAAATCAAAATAAAACCCGCGCAGCGCAATGCTCCCAAAAGAAAAAGCAAAACTGCAGAAAAAGGCGAAAAGCAGGAAGCGAGTGAAAACGAAGGTCATCATCAACAAAAGCAGATCCCGCCGTTCATCTCACTAAGCCGATCCATCGATCGATCGAGAGAGAAGAGGAGAGCCAGCGATGGCGGTCTCCGTCTCAGTTTTGGCCGTCGTCACGTCCCTCCATCTCGTCGCCTTCGTCCTCGCTGTAGGCGCCGAACGTCGTCGGAGCACAGTAACAACCTACTCTCTTCTCTTATTTCCTGATTTTTTACAGAACGTACAGTGAGCTAATTGACCCCCCCTTTCCCCCTTTTCTCTCTGTCTGAAGGGTAAGGTGCAACCGGATGAGTACGACGAACGCACGTTCTGCGTATACGATTCGGATGTGTCGACGGTGTACGGATTGACGGCGTTTGGTCTTTTGTTGATTAGTCAATTTTTGGTTAACTGCATTACGAAATGCCTCTGCTTCGGGAGAGGGCTCATGAGCGGGAGGAGCTCCACCGCCTGTGCCATATTCTTCTTTGTATTTTCCTGGTGAGTCTCCCATCCCACCAAATCTTCCTTTTCTGCCACTTCACTGCTTGAGTTGAATCGATCCATTCCCCGGCAGACTCGTCGTTTTCATAGTGAGTTTTTTTTTTTTTTTTTCGCGGCATATAGTCGTGCTTGTAGCTCGAGCCGCTGCACCCCAAATCGGCAAGAAGACACCGTTCTCGCTCCATTCTGAACTGAAAGTCTGAAACACCACTCCCAAAGGAGAGGTGCGGTGGGTGCGGCGTCTGCCTTCTGCCGGGGACTGGCTTTGTGGCTATGGCTTTTTGCGCTACTCGACTCGAGTCACGCCCACGAGTGGAGCGTGAACGCTTTGATTTGATTTGAGTAGTATCTTGGGTTTTGGGCCTGGGCTCCTTTCTTTTGTTGCAAGGGCGTAGGGTCCACGCCACTAATTGCCGAGATTGACAAACCTCTAATAAGTCTCTAACCATCGGATGGCCCCATCCAGCAATACAATATTAATGCCTGAATCAGGGTGATCAGAAGATTTTGATTTGCACGCGATGTCAGATTTATTTGATGCTTTCGGTGCTCTGTGGAGTACATTATTCGTGATGGTGACCATTTGAATGTAACTTGTGACAATTAATTAAAAGTTTAAAACTGACAATTTGATTTAATTAAACTTAAACCAAAAACATTTTTATAGGGCTAGCTTTTTGGGGGCAGAGGCGTGTTTAGTGGCGGGGTCGGCCAGAAATGCGTATCACACCAAGTACAGAGGATACTTCGGCGCACAAGACTTATCGTGCGCCACTCTCCGGAAGGGCGTGTTTGGCGCCGCGGCCGCTCTTACGTTGTTGTCTTTACTGGGATCCATCATGTATTACTGGGCCCACGCCAGGGCTGACACCGGTGGATGGCAGAAGCACCAGAATGAAGGTGGTTTGCACCCCCACGAACAGCAAATGAGCAGCGAGTTCCAAAAGATCTGATTTGAAACTATAAAGCCAAAGCAGAGAGTTCTGGGGGTTCTTTATTCCTTTCCATTTTGTTTGTGCCAGCAATGATCATCGTCTGATCAAGTAAGGCTCCAAGTTTTGTGTGCGAGATTATGATTCGATCAATCAAGCGGTCCTTATTGACGACCTATGTAAGGAAGATATACAAATATTATGTATCTTAAAGAAATTTTATTTATATTCGTCTTTTTCTTATAAAGTTACTATTTTATGGCATGGGTTGGCTTCCTTGATCCATATTATTGGTTGGTCGGGTTACTTTGGCATCACGAGACGAGCATTCATGCACTTGATAAAAACTCGGGGCAATTGTCACCGACTCCATGGTCCCCCTAATTTGCTGTTGACAAAAGGCTGTAAGCCGTTTGCCTTGGATATTATGGGGAGAAGGGAAGAGATAGAGATGTAGATTCTATTAGCAAATGAAAGTTCAGGTGGGCTAGTTGCCACTAACCCCATGGTCGCCGTAATTTACCTCTCTATTCAGTCGACAAGTTTCTTAATGCTTGCCCTTGGATATGGGAATGGGGAGAAACGGAACATATATAGATTCTCATGAGCTGTTTTGACTTTTGGCTGCTTATACGTTGGTTTGTTCCATCAATCAAGAGGAATTCAGTTCTAATTGTTGTTTGTTATACTGGAGATCCTAGTATAATATGACAAAGCAGTCTTCACTCTTGACTTGGTAATGCAACTTGGGTTGGGTTTGTTTCAGCATTCGTTACCCAGGCCTAAACAGAAATACACTAAATGGAGTTCTTATCTTGATGAAAGGCAACCGGCAAGATCTTATGATTTTTCACCATCTTAAATTCTTAATTAGCAGCAGCAAAATTACAGTTGCAGTCGTTATTTCAGCCAGGTGTTGATCTAATAAATCTCCATTGTGGGGCACCTCAGGACTTTCGGGGGGGGGGGTATTGTGGAATATAAAGAAATTCTTCACAATTGGGTTAACATTTATCATCAGGAATTAACAGAGTTTGCATATTTATTTGAAACTTAACAGGGAGGTTTTTGTAGAGAAGAAAGTGAAAACGTAGAGGTTTGGGTATTTGTCCAAAAACACACACGCAGAGATAAGCATTACTGATATGCAATGGTTGCAAAGGATATCTCTTGGTATTGATGTGTCTTGTTCATAAGGTGTTATAAAGGATACGCTCCCTATTACTAGTGGTTTGATTCGGTTTCATGACAGAACCTGAAATGTAGGGGTCGGTTCTGGTTTTGGTCGTTACGGGGTTAGTTTCAGGGTCTACATGTGGAATCTGTTTTTTTTTTTTACTCCCTCCTTAAAGAAAGAAGTATGTTCTTTAAAAACATATTTTTTAATAAATATAATATATATTTTAAAATTTATATTATCTTTATCGATTAAATTGAATAACTTAGTATGTAGATTATCATTATATGGTTCAAAATTTATAATTTAAATTTAAATCGTAATACCTTAAACTGATTGGGCATCACTCTTGAGAGGCAGATAAGATTTAGCGATAGGTTCCTAGCAAGCCTCATATATATATATATATATATAGCACCAAAGCATGGCCCAAATGAAATTATCCCCATCATTGCCAATTGCTACCTGAATTTTATCAATGGACCAGATATTGGCTCAATCCAGTCCAATATAAATTCATCAAGGATGGGCCATGTCCATTCAAACCCAATAAATACATTGGACCATTCAGTCTGGATTGGTCCAATTCAATGTCTTATTGGTTCATCCAATCCATCCAAATTGATTTTGATTTGGATGGGGTCTAACCCAAAACTAGTCCATTGACATCCCTCGCTACCTCAGCTGTAGTATTAATTTTGATGTAGTTACCGAGCGGGTTCATTTGTCTTAACGTCTAAACCATACCTCTGATTTAGTTTTAGATGGTTCGTGGTGGGTAAAATGCCTTCGTTTTTTTTAATATTACAATGACTCTTAAAGCAAAAGAGCTAGATATGCTATTTTAATATTACAATGACTCTTAAAGCAAACTAGTCCATTGACATCCTTCTTTAGTGTGGATGAGAAATTGGTCCTGTGGTGAGTGTGGATAAATTGTGTGGACCGGACTAATCCACACCCACGGTGGCGTTGTAGGTGTGGTGTGGAGTCGTCCACACCACACTTTTTGATTCCATGTATCTCATACATTTTATGGGAGATCTACACATTCGATCATAAATGTCTAATTTTTCTATTTTATATGGTAAATGAATTGAAAAGGCATCAATATGTGGATAATAATTGTATTTTTAAATAATTAAAAAATATTATTTTAAATATTAAAAAAATAAAAAATTAATATTTTAAATATTATTTTATTGATAAAAATATTAAAAAAATTTATATTTAAATCATGAAAAAAAGAGTTGAGAAGGAGAACTGCAAACTTGTGCTAGAATTAATATTAAAATTTATTATTTTATTGATAAAATATTAGAAATTTAAAATTTAAAAAGTATTAAAAGATTGAGCAAAATGAGAGTAATTGAATCAATGTAATGGAGGTGCGATACTTTGAAGTCCACACTATCTACGAGAAAATACTATGGATGATAAATTGGGGTGTGGTCCATCCCTGTCCATGCTATTTTGAGGATAGAGATTGTCCACACATAACATAACACCATATCTTACTGTGGACAGGACTAAAATGGTCCCCTCCACGATATTTACACAGTACTGAATGCCAAAATGGTCCCCTCCACAATTTTGTCAAATGCCACCTAAATGAAAAACAGGCTCAAATATTAGATCAGTTTCAAATTTGGATATCCCATTGAAGAATATTAGATCCATTTGACAAATGGTATATACATGCACTAGCTTACAATCTATAGGTGATTGATAATGATAGGCTGAATACATCTAATTTGGAAACAAAATGGTGGAGCCTCTTTTTTTGTGAGAGATTTAGGTGGAGCTTAAAGTTAAACACTTTATTTGGATTGGTGGTGATGTGTGAATGGGGTTGTAGTACCTAGAGATAATCTCTTAAGGCTATGTTTGTAAACGTTTGCAAGGGTTTTCCTATCTTTCCCTGCATTTTTCTGCAAACCAAACATAGCCTAAGAGAGGGTTTGTATCTTCTCCAATCTGTGAAAGGTGTAGAAGAGAAGATGAAGATGCTTTTCATGCTCTTTGTTGTGTGATAATGTGAGATGTATTTGGTTAGTTTCAAGTGTGGGCCTACACCCCTACAGTCAGAACAAGGAAGAGGGTGTCCCTCTGTTGGCAGGTGGTTGCAAATCCTTTTTGAATCTCTTGTTAAGTGGAATATGGAGATCTTTGTAAATATTCTTAAAACACTTGGAGAAATTTGGAAATACCTTTCAGTTTGATAATTATGTATTTACCCCTTTACTGTTAGTGGCTTAATAGCAGAGAAGGTCTCAAATTTGGCAGCAGAAATTGGTCGAATGTTCAAAAGTTAAGGTGAATGAATACACGAATTCTTTTGGGCATCCTCCGGATTCTGGTGCTTGGAAGATCAACAGATAGGAGCTTTTTGAATTCAAATAAGACAGCTTATGACTTTGTAATCAGAGATTCTTCCGGTTATTTCTTGGGGGNGGGGGCGGATGTGCTTTTTTATTTTTTGGCAACATCGCCCTTCGTTGCTTGAAGCGAAGGCTACTCTTGAAACTAGCCTTGTTGCAACGGTAGGATCTGACAACAAACAGTTGGTTTCTTATCTTAATGGTGAGGAAGACACATGTCATCCTGAAATCCCTTTTTGTCTGGAATCAGTGGTGCTCGAGGGAAGCAAATGATGCGGCTCATGAAGCTGCGAAACTCGGTTTAGAAAAAGATTTACACAATTCTTTTTCTGTTCCTCTCTGTTTTTCTAGTGGTTTAAGAAAAGACTTTGTCAAGCTTTCTGTTGGCTTTTGTAGGGTGCTTAATCTGTGTGTGGTAGTTTGGGTTTCTTCTTCTTCTGTTCGATCAATGAATATAGTTTTCAACATATATATGCACTAGCAAAACTGATCAGAGTATTAGCTTCCCTAATTAAAAGGTTGTTGGTGCAAATATACTGAAGTCATCCTTAATTCGGTTAGCAATCGTTACCCTCTAGCTTCACTTGTTTGTTTGTTCATGGCATTGTTGCTTTTCAATTTTTAGTGGGAAATATTCTTTTGGAGACAAATTTGAGGAGGTGTAAGCAGTATTTACTACCATGGAGTCACCAAATAGTGATCTTATTCAAACCATTTTACAGTTCTAGAGAAAGAGAGAGGACAAGCAAACTAAGTGGTTCTAACCTGCCACAGACCTTAAACCATGTGTTCATGGTTCTAGCCTGCCACAGACCCACAGTTATTCCATGCAGCTACTAAAACAGTACGAGTAAAAAGCAAACTAAGTGCAAATACTTTCATAGGGACCGTTTTATTTTCTGACCCAGCTTAGTATGGAAGCTCTAAATCGAACCTAGCAGTTGGGGATGGAAACACCACAAGAGCTGACTACCTTCTTGGCATTCGGGGAGTTAACATACTGACCGAGGCTTGGATCTCTCAGGTATTGGCAAAAGCATGGCCTTTGCTCCCTTAACTTATCACAGCACAACTTGGAGGGAGGGCTGTTGTTGACGAGTGCATTTGAGCATGGACTCAACTGCGAAAAGTTGCAGGTAACAGACACTGAGAGCTGTGCTTCACTCAGAAGCAGCACCACCAGCACCACACACACAGCAGTATATGAGACCTTCATCTTCAGCTCTTCACTCACAGAAAGAAAAATAGAAAGGCTAAAATAAAGACAAATAACCAAGAGAAAGGCTAGCTTCGCAAACAAAAACTGAGAAGATGGTATGGTGCATTTGGCTCGGATTTATTGGCAATTTATAGACGTAAGCAAACCAAAGAACACAGTTAACGTCTCTTTCAAGTCTCGAGTTCAGTACCAAAAAAAACAGTCGGAATCTAGTACAGAAATATTTTCATATACATGTTTGAAGTTTTACTTGAGGATAAGTATGGAAGAGAATAAATACATACAAAATAATATAAAATATAAGGTTTTACACTCTACAGTCCTTCGAAACTGTGCCAAAATGATTGAAAGGTGGTTTATCTTTTCTCATGGAAGCCTAAACGGTCAAACTTGACCTCTCTCTCCTAAGTCTCGAGTCTTGACAGTGATAAAAAAAAAATCTATATCTGTTTGACGTTATGCTTAAATGATAGAAAGGTATGCTCATTTTTTTTTTCCCAATTCACAGATGATAATGGAAGCCTAAACTTGGACCGACGAACATATCCTCCAGAGGCTTGATTTTGCATGCTGCCGCCATCACTGTATTGAGAGATTAACACATTTATCCGATGCCCAATTCAAGGGGTTCAACTATAATATATCTGAAAAATTTTTGATTAATCAATTAGAATCATAAACATGGGAATCAATCAGGTGTTAGTGGATTTTGATTGATCAAAACTCTTTCAATATGATATCTTTCTCGCATCATATATTTTCTCCAATTCAAGAGACGTACGTGGTAATAAATCCTGCCTACCAGGACAACCCAAATTGTCTTTTTGTATGGCTATTAACGGCTTGATTGTCAGCCAACAGTGAGCCCGGCTGCAGGATAAATTCATAAGCCTACCTAATCTATCTTCATTTAAGACTATAAAGACATAATTTCAAATCATGATTTTCTCTGGGAGATTTATTTTGAGATGAAAACCGGCTCGAGGTGGAAATCTAGGCTGAGTACTTCGGATAGAAAATGGATGAAACTGTCCACATCTTGATTCACCATTTCACCTAACAAAGAAAAAAATTTCATTTGGCAACCGTACTAATTTGAAAAAGAGAGAGATCGAGATTATCGGGACTCTCCAGATTAATTATTCTGAAATTGATGTTACCTCCTCATTCCGGATGAGTAGGCACAGCATTGAAAGCACGTTCAAAAATTTGTTGGGTTTCTTTAGGCAGTTTCTCCTAGAAATGGAAATTCCGATTGGGATACGTACGGACATGCCACTCTCATCTAATAAATTCAAAATTTGTTTCGGTTCCTCCCCACGTCAGCGTAATTTTAGTGTTATATCGATTATACCCCTCTACGAAAAGTGTTGCACCGTCTTTTTATCGTCTTCTTCGTCATTTCGAACCTACAACATCCTCTTTTTCATTTTTCAGAGCAGTTTTTTAGAGCCGTTAACCACCACATCACCGGAGCTCTACGAAAAGCTACAACGTCTTTTCATCGTCTTCTTCCTCATTCCGAACCTACAATATCTTCTTTTCCATCAGAGCCGTTTCACAGAGTTGTTAATCACTGGATCACTGGAGCTCTACAAAAAGCTACAACGTCTTTTCATCTTCTTCTTCCTCATTTCGAACCTACAACATTTCGAAACTACAATCTCTTCTCCTTTTTTCAAAGCCGTTTCTCGGAGCCGTTAATCATCTGATCACCGGAGCTAATTTCTCAGAGCCTTCTCATCACCGAAGCTAATTGCACATGTTATGAGGATGATTGAAAACCGAAGCTAACGGTTGAGCATCTCTAACTATATAAATTTACAGATGAATAGCTTAAAGTAATGCAAAAAGATTTTTTTTTTTTTTTTTTTTATATTGCCCGGTGAAACCTTATTTCCATAGAAGTGTTGTCCCATTGTGTGGTGTGACTTATGATCAAATTTTTGCTCTCAACATATAGTGGCACAAAGCAATGTGAAGTAACAATTACAACTGGTTTCCACGTGATTCTACCATTCCCGAGAAGTAGTCCTAGAGGGGGGCCAGGGGTAGACAGGTGGCGGAATCACTTCCATGGGGTGGGGAGAGGTCTCCTAGACGTTCCCAGAGGAGGTGGAGACCAAACAAAGAAGGCCAATGGTGGAAAATAGTGCTTTTGCAGAACCACCATTTCCCACCATCGACTCTGGCCATCGGGCCGATGGGCGATCGGAAGGAGTCGGGGGGGTGAGTAGTAGTAGGGGGAGTGGGTTTGGTGGCCATTGAACCCGCTAGAGCGGCCTTCGGGTTATTCTGCCATTTTCAAAAAGTGGTCCCGGAGGGGGGGTGCGGGGGTACACAGGCAGCGGAACCACCTCCATAGGGTGGGGAGAGGTCTCTTTGACGTCCCCAGAGGAGGCAGAGACGTTCTGGGCCAACGGGGAAGGCCAACGGTGGGAAATAGTGCTTTTGCAGAACCATCATTTCCCACCGTCAAGCTGATGGGAAACTAGAAGGTGTTGGGATGCTCGGTGAGTGAGTGGTAGTAGGAGGGAGTGGGTTTGGTGGCCATCGAACTCCGCACCGGTCGAGTTATTCCTCCATTTTTGAGAAGTGGTCCCAGAGGGGGGGGGGTGCAAGGGTAGACAAGCGGAGATGCATTAGGGCTAACGGGGAAGGCCGACGGTGGGAAACAGTGCTTTTGTAGAATCACTATTTTCTACTATCGACTTAAGTTGTCGGGCAGATGGGTGACCAGAAGGTGTCGAGATGCAAGGTGGGTGAGTGGCAGTAGGAGAGAGTGGGTTGGGTGGCTATCGATCCCTTCCACACCCGTTGGAGCGGCCTTCGGGTGATTCTACCATTTCTGAGAAGCGGTCCCGGAGGGGGGGGGTGGGGGTAGATGGGGGGCGAAACCACCTCCACGGGATGGGGTGAGGTCTCTTGGACGTACCCAGAGGAGGCGGAGACACCCCAGACCAATTGGGAAGGCCGACAGTGGGAAACAATGCTTTTGCAAAACCACTGTTTCCTACCGTCGGTTCAAGCTATCGAGCTGTTGGGTGACTAGAAGGTGTCGGGATGCTCGGTGGGTGAGTGGCAGTAGGAGGGAGTGGGTTTGGTGTCTATTGAACCCCTCCGCACCCGTTGGAGTGGCTTCCAGGTGATTCTACCATTTCCAAGAAGCGGTCCCAAAGGGGGGGGTGCGGGGGTAGACAGGTAGCGGAACCACCTCCATGCCTTGTAGTTAACGTATCAACAGGCTTGGAAGGGGAAAGAGGTTTCAAAGGTTCTAATTGATGACAACGATGATGACTCTTACTCATGTATTCCATGGTTTTGTGAGAAGATTGTCGAGTCTAATCCAGGTTCGTATGTCACTTATAGTATCGATGAAGATGGCTGTTTCAAGCGACTCTTCTTAGCATTCCATGCATATCTCCATGGATTTTGCTATGGGTGTCGGCCATTGTTATTTGTAGATGGGGTGTTCTTAAATGGGAAATACTAAGGGAAGCTACTAGCCACCACCGCGATAGATGCCAACAATGGGATGTTTCCATGGAATTTTCCGTTGTCCCCGCTTAGTTCGTTGAGGATTGCACATGGTTTATTGGGGATCTTAAAACAACAATTAGTGATGACAGAGATGTTGTGATTGTTTCGGATAAGGGCAATAGCTTGGTGGGTGCGGTCTAGCAGATTTTTCAACCAGATTTGCATGCCTTTTGTTGTCGACACCTCATGGAAAATCTAAAATTGACATGACACGGCTTCGCTTATCGAAGGAGTTGCATGATGCAATAAATGTTGTAATGTTTAAAATCCAGGTTTGTTTATCGAAGGAGTCACTAATGGGGAGGCTTTTCACATTGAATGAACGCGTTGGCATTAGGGTAAAGGCCACTAAACCTGAGCATTAGGCTGAAGGAATGAGAGATCCATCCTATGGACGCCCAAAAGATTGCGGAATAAGGGGCGAATTTCAAAAATTTTTCTCTCCCTTCAACTGGGAATCGTATTCC